TAACACTGCTTTGTTTCCCTGCTCAGAGGATAAACCAGGCCTGGGTCATAAAGCCAGGCCCTGCCAACTCCCCAAACTGTCACCTCAGGCACCACCTCTCTGCCTTAATTTTGTCAACAAATAAGTGGGTTGATAGCCTATTCCCAGGGGCGGTGGGGGTATTACATGACCAAGTATCGGCAGGCTGTGCAACAGTGGCAATTATTGTTGGTGGTGGTTGACTCCTTGACCCACTAGCCGCACAATCTGTTGGAGTCGGGACCCTGGCTCAGGAGAGCTCCTAGGAAGGCCTACCCAGCCATGAACAAACCATGGCCTCCAGCCTCCCTGCCCTCAGCTCTGCAGACCTTTATCTCTGCCCCACCCCCTCGGGCTATCCGGCCCCGGCTTAACCTGCAACAGCCCCAAGGGGATAACAGAGGACCTCAGAGCTCACCTAGAGGTCCAAGTCCTTCACGCACTAGATGCAGAAACAGAGGCCTCCAGAAGGAAGGAGGCTTTTTCCTGATAGCAATGTGCTGGACAGCCAGAGGGTGGGGAGGGGCTGCCATAGACCCTGCGGTGGGCAGGGCAGACAGTGCTTAAGGCAGCTGCCCCTCTGGCAGCAGAATGTGCACCATCAATTTTCTTTTAACTCATAATAATGACTAATGTTTCTGGAGAGAGACTCTGTGGTAGACCCGGTGCTGAGAACCTTTCAATCATCCACTCTCCTCGTTTCATCTGCTCCACTTTACAGTGGGCTCAGAGTGAGGCTCAGAGAGGTGAAGTGACTTGCCACAGGCCACACAGGATAGGCTGTAACTTGAACCCGAGTCTGATTCTGGAGTTTAAGGGCTTCACCCCTGACACGTTGCCTCCCTCTGCAACCCCAGAAAGGACTGAAGAATTCTGGAGAGCTGGGGTTGGTGGTTCGCCATCACGTTAGCACTCAGCAACCAAGCAGCCCGTCCCCAGGCACGTGCAAATTCAGAGGCATCCTCCAGACACAAGCAACCCCAGCTGCCTGGCGTCATCACTTCCCCTGGGTGCTCACCACCCCACCCAAGGAGCGGTGTTGGGGAACCTGGGACTTATCAAGACAAAGAACAAAAGTCATGGGGGAAAGAAGCCAAGAGCCATCTCCATGCGGGGTAGGGCCTTCAGTTTTGCCCCTTTGAAATTTCAAATTCCAGTTTGTGGACAAAGTCCTAACTTTCTCACAATATAGGTCCCCAACCACTGACCAAACTCCAGTGCAGACAGCCAGCAGGCCTGGGACTGGCCTGGCCTTTCTGCTTCCCCTGGCAGCTCCCAGCATTGGGGAGCAGGGGTCCTGAGCGGACTGGGGCCTGCCAGGCCATCCCTGCTTTCCCGTCCTACCCCACAGGGACCCTGCTTCCCATCTGAGAGGAAAGCCTTCTTTCTGGAGCTGGGATCTGACACTTGGTGGTACTGACAGAGATACAGGTAGGCCCCCTCCAGTTCTGGGCATCTTTTCTTCCCTGAACTCCTAAAATACTGCCCATACCAGTCTCCTCACCCTGGGTCCAGGCCACATTGGCCTCCAGTCATGACCTCACAGAACTTCAAGACTGGAAAGGGCATCTCAGCCAACCCACCTGCTTGGTGGATGGAGACTGGCCACCACCAGGGGAGTGGCAACTGGCTACAGGTTGAGCCACAGACCTGGGCCCCTCACTGAGCCCCAGAGTGTGGAAGGGCCATGCTCAGGGCCATGCAGTGGTGGTGGGGAAGCTGTGCCTTAACAAAAAGACCACAGCTATGTGAGGACCTCTTTGCTCCACTGCAACCCTTGAGGGCCCTGGCGGCAGCTGCTAGGGACCCCAGATGGTAGAATGTTTGTTCACTCGATGACTGATGGCCCCTGGATTGCCAGGGAAGTACTTCCGAGAGGAAGATGAGGCAGCCTGGGCCTGAAGGCCAGGGGGTTTGGAAGGAAACAACATTCGTGTGGTTAACTGATAACCGGGCCCCATCCTTGGGCCCCCAGAAGCCTCCTTCCTCACGCTCCTCAGCATGATTAAGATGAACTTACCTGCCTGCTAATCATTGCTGACTCTGTTGATTTTGCCTTAAAAAATTAACTGGGCATGAGTTTGCGGTTTGCTTCACCCCTAACCCTGAAAAGGCCCTGGTGGGCAGGAGGACGCCCGGGTTATGCAAGAGGCCGCTGGCCTCCCCACACACATCCAGCTCCTCTTCAGCTGCTCTCCGAAGGGTAGGTTTTGCTCAAGAGTCAACAGTCTGCTTGTTCCCCCTGCTCTGGGTCCTGAGCAAATTTGCTCTGTTACCAAAGAGAGATAAAGGCTGCCTGTGGGGAGAGCTTTCCAAACAGGGATGCGCGGCGGCAGCTTTGAGCTTGGGATTCTGGAATCCTGCAGTGTCAGACCGGGAGAGTGTTCAGGAGATGAGGGCTGGGGCCTCTCCGACTGGGTCCCGGGGCTCCCGGGAGCCTCGGGAGTGTGTGCACGGGCTCGGTCCACCAGCGCCGGCCCTGGAGTGCACTCTCCCCTGAGATTTCCTTTGAAAGGGGGGCTGGCCACTGAGGATGTGGGCAGGAAAGCCACTGGTCCTCACTCACTGTGCAGATGGAAGGTGGGAAGGAACTCATCCAGGGACAGGGCAGCCCAGCGCCCTGGGTCTCCAGCTAGGCTGCTGGCTGCTGGCCACTGGGCTGCCATCCAGTACTTCTTAGAGGAAGATGAGGGAGCCCGGGGCTGAAGGCCAGTGGGTTTGGAAGGAAACAACATCCATGTGGTTAACTGATAACTGAGCCCCATCCATGGGCCCCCAGAAGCCTCTCTGGGACTCAAGGATATGTTCTGGACATTAATGAGCAAGATGACTCTGAAACCCCACTCTCCCGTCATTTACCTCCCTCCCTGGGCTGGCTGGAAGCAGAGTCCAGGGAATTCACCTGCCTCGGGTCCTGCGGGCTTTCTGAGGAGCAGCCGCAAGCTACAAACCAGAGGGGACAACTTATAATCCATTCAGCTATGTCCTCTCTCTGGAGGCATCAGGCCATAGAGAAAGATGGAGAAAGATGCAGAACCTTGCCCTGACCCTCTGTGCCTCTTTGAGGCTCAGTTTCCTTGCCTTTAAGTTGGAAATAACAATAGCTAACTCGCAGGATGAAATGGAGTGAGACACGTGATGACACGTGCAATGGAGTGAGACAGCCATGCCTGGTGTTGATAAAGCTGCCACGGGCCTTTCCGGGTGTTGATGCCTTAACCCTCACAAGTGTTTTCATCACCATTTTACAGACCTGAGGCACAGAGAGGTTGAGTCATATGCCCAAGCTCACACAACTTTTACAAACCAAGAGCTGGGATTCCAACCCGAGCAGCCTGGCTCCAGAGTCTGCACTCTTAACCCCGAGGCTACCCTGCCCTTCCAGGGCTGGCAAACAGTAAGAGCTCAGTGAAAGCTGGCCATACCATAATAAAATAAGCTCCTTTCTGAGGCACATGTGAGCTTTGTGCATGGACTGTGGGGGCTGAAGAAGGCATGAGAAGGAAGGCATGTGTGTCTCTGGGTAGAAGTGGTCAGGGATGGCTTCCTGGAAGAGGTAGCATTCTGGACAGAGGGAATGTCCAGAAGTGGAGAACTTGGTGAAGGTGGAAGAGCATGGAAGCTGCTTTGGCCAGAGAGCAGGGCATTCTGGACGATGCCGACTGTCATGTTCAAGGGTAGAGAGCGTGGTCTGGAGGATGACCAAGAAGAAGGCCAGGGGCGCTTGGGTCTGTGCAGGCCGGGTCTCCCCGCGGCTGCCTCCTGCCGGGTGGCTGGTGACTTTTGGGCTCAGGTTGTGGCATCTCCCTGTTTATGTTCCTCCCTCCTGGTTATATTCCTGACTTTATCTGCAGAAGTGACCTTGGAAGTTGGATGCGGCCCGCCCAGCTTCCATGGGGCCTAGAGGATGATAGCGAGGCCCTGCCGGCACAGGCCTTATCCTTGGTGTGAGGGTGAACCCATATCCCAGGAACCACCCTCAGTCTCCCTGCACCCCTGTCCTGCAGCGCCCGGGGGATCTGCCTGGAGGTCTCCGAGGTGAAATGTTTGGGAGTCCTGAGATTCAGGCCAGGGTTGCTGCCTATAGTTATGCAGGGTGTTACACAAAGGCTCTCTGGTGAAGGGGGAAAGTGGGGCTGACAATCTAGCCCTTGTCCCGCCTGCCAAGCCAACTGCCTCTGGGACCTGCCCAGAGCAGGGCACTTACTACTGAGTTTCACAGAGACTCTGTGGAAGCCCTGCCCCTGCTCTGCTTCCCGTCACGGTGTGACCTTGGGCAAGTTCATTCCCCACCCCAGCCCCTGGCCTTGACTTCCCATTTGAAAGGTTGTCTAGCATAAACTAGAGATACAACCCTGAAAATCTCTCAACCACTGTGAGAATTATAATCCCCTGGGACCTTTAGAAATACTGATGTCCAGGTCTAATAACAGACCAATGATCAAATCTTAGGGTAGGGGTGAGTGGGTGTTGGCATCTATTTTTTTAAGTTCCCAGGTGACTTTGATGTGTAGTCAAGATCAACACCCACTGTAGGAGGGCTTAAAATATGTAGCTGGAAAGACCTCGAAATACTTTCAAATTCTAAACTTACTACTTGCAACTTAGGTGAGGCTCAGTTTTCCCATTTGTAAAATGGGAATGAATAGCTTCCTTATAGAGTCAGAAGGCCGATTCAACGAGATAACATTCAGACAGTGCTTGGCACTGCGGCTGGCATGTAAGGAGCTCCTTATTCTTGGCACTAATGGCCATTATTTTAGGTAATATTGGCCAGATGGGATTGGCTTGAGATAAAAGATCTTTACAGGTCAAGGATTCAGAGACTCAGAGTCAGGTTTTCTCTGCGCCTTGAGTCAAGTTCTAGGGCATTGGTCTCAGTCCTGGCTGCATACCTGTCACATTACTGAGGCATGTGTGATTATTACTACTGTTTGCTATTTTATCTCATTTGTTTGAACCAGTACTACATTCACATGGTTGAAAAATCAAAACAATGTAAAAGCACTTTGAGAAGTCTTGCTTCCACCCCTGTCTACTGTCCACCAGCCCACTGCCCACCGGCAGCATATAAGATCATATATTATCACCCCCACCTCTTACGTGTCCCTCGCTTTGTTCATTTCATATCATAGCATACAGATTTTTCCATAGCAGTGAGGGCAAGCTTCAAGGAAGCAAGGGTTAGTGCCCCCTTCACAGGTGAAGGCACTGAGGCTAGATTGCTGAGTCAGTGGCATCTGAGCTATCTCTACCTGGTTCCGGAGCTGGTGTTTGTCCCCTGCTCAGTTCCAGTAAGCCTGGTTCAGTGAACTTCAGAGCCCGACCTAAAGCTCTCCAGTGTAGGCCTGGTGGGAGATGGGGCAGGGGTGGGCTGCCAGGGCCCTCACTGAGTCTTGGCCCCAAAGTCACAGAGGGGCTGAAGTGATGAGCAAAAATGTCCCAAGTCATCCAGATGGTGACCCAGCAAAGGTATGTCCCCTGGATGGGAGAGTTAGGGTGGCCTTGCCCTCCATCAGAATGGAGCCCGCAGGGAGGCCAGGAGGAGAGGTGGGGAGGGAAGGGCAGCCTGGCTAAGGGGACAGGCCCAGGGGAGGGAGGCAGTCAGGGTCAGGGAGGAGCGTCTGGGATTTAAGTCGGAGGGGACAGGGGGTTTTAACCATGCTTTCTGCCCGGGCCACCGCAGGGCTCCGTTGGGTTCTGGGTCTGCTCCAGTTCACTGACTCGCTGACTCTGGACATGTCCCTTTCTCTCTCTGTGCCTCAGTTTCTTCCACTACAAAGTGAAAGAGATTAGGTATTTGGTCTTTAGGTAGCTTTGGAGCATCCCTAAAAGACTCTGTGAGGATCACCTCATTTATTAAAGGAATCTGGATCTTTCTCTGCCTTGATCAGAATGATATCCACCCCCAAAGGCCCTGGGCCTTCCTGGCTGGGGGCTGGAGGCACAAAGTCTCCACAACTGTCCAAAATCTGGACTTTGCCCCCTGTCCTGTGTCTCTCTCCACCACCCTGTCCTCCTTTCTAGGTAAATATGGATTCAGGACCATACCTGGGGGTGCCAGGGGAAGTCCTGGCCCCAGTCTGGTGCTATAAGGTCCCACACAGTGGGCAACCGTGTCACCCCTGGGGAAGCTCCTGCCACCACCCTGGCACCCAAGACCCTTCAGGGCTGCCGGGCAGGGTTAATCTCTTACTACTGGTCACACCGAGATTTCAGGGGTGGTGGGAGGCTGTCCCCATGGAAACTGTGGATCTTCCCAGGACCCATGCAGGGAATTAACCACAGGGCTCAGCTGGGGATCCCAGAGATCCAGCCCAAACAGGAGTGGGAGGCAGAGTGGGCCTGGACTCCTGGGTCCCGCGCTCGCCCTCCTGTCGTCTCTCTGGAGGGACTGAGACAAACGGCAGCCCCTGTTGTGCCTCCGTGTTCCCGTGGTAACCTGTGCAGACCCACTCATGGGGAGAATCCTGGCACTTTTCTGAGCATCAGTTTCTTCATCCTCCAATTGGGGTTCCAACTCCTTCACCCAGGGGCTTTTCTGGAAGAGGGCAGACTTAAGAGTCTATCAGATCTGAGTGTGAGGCTCGGCTTTTCCCTCTCATGCTGTAAACCTAGGCCAGGCATGTCACTTCCCCGAGCCCCAGTGTCCTGATCTCTACGATGGGCACAGTGATACCAACTGGCATCACTTTTGTGCCTGACGAGGGTACTAATGCTCAGTGAATGTGAGTCTCCCTTTCACTTATTTCTGACGCCACATCCACCCTGCACATCAGCTCCCCCAGCCGTGTGCAGCTATCAGAATCCCACAACTTCAGCCTCGTGCCTGGCCTTTGCCAGGCCTTCTGCCCAGAGCAGCTGTTGCGCGCCTCTCGCCTCCTCACCCTCCCAGCCCCGTCTCAGTCATCCTCCCCTCAGCAGCCCTGCCAGCTCAGGCAGGGTGGGGCTTCGTCTTCTGCACCCCTCCCAGCCCCCAATGCTTTACATGATTGCAGTTCAGTCAGTGATCATTATTGGTGACTCGTCGGCCACCTCCATTAGACTGTGTCCCGTTTACTGTTACAGTCCCAGGACCCAGCTGGAACTTAACACAATTGGTTGCATGGATAAATGAGTGAATGAAGGAAGGAATTCGTCCATCCAATCATTCAACAAAAATTACTGCCTCCCATGTGCACTGCTGCGGGTGCGAGAGATGCAGTCCTGAGGACAACCACTGAGATCCCGTCCCAACCAGGTTGCAGCTTCAGAAAATAAACATACAGGATGCCCAGTTACCTTTGCATTTGAAAGCAATAAATACGTTCTTATATAAATATGTACCAGTAATCCACCAAATAATGCATGGAACATACTTAGACTTTTTTAAAAAATTGTTGTTAATCTCAAATTCAAAGGTAACTGGGCATCCTGTCCTGCACCTGGCTCCCCATTCGCTTACTCACGGAGCTTATGTTTTGGTGGGGAGGCGTGGTAGAGAGACGGTAAGCAAGTAAAGAGTAAATAAAAAAGAAGAGAATTTCAAACGGTGGTAAGTGCATTGAAGACAATGAAAGAGCAATATTATAAGCACCTGGGGATGGCAGCGGGTGTCTTTGAGCAGGGTGATCTCCGAGCTAGTGGCCTTTCCCTGCGTGGGACAGTTCTATGTGCCAGTAAGATGCTACTTTGCACAAGTCCTTTGAAGATTTTTAAAGGGTGTGGTCGAGGCTGTTAAACTTGAGAGAAGGGCTCCGAGGTGGGCAGAGGTCAAAGCCGAGGAAGGGGGCGCTGCTGAGTCTCACTTGACAGACTCCACAATTTTGCAATTTGGATCTGGGCCTTCACAAACCTTCGCGAACTCGCAACCCCACCCCTCGGGCAGCCAATGTTCTCTGCGGGGCTGGGAGCCAAAGGGGCCAAAGGGGCTGTGCAGAGAAGCATAGCCACCCGGGCCGGGGCTGACACCATACCCCCCGCACCACCCTTACCCCTACCTCCGTCAGGACGTTGCCCCAGGGCGCAGGGCAGAACCACCACCGCGCAGAGCCCCGAGGGCGTCCGGGAGGAAGCGGCCCAGACTCCCCCCGAGCCCCACGCTTTGTGCGTCCTGGGTTCCTCCTAGTGGCCAATTCGGGAACTGGCGCTCAGAAACATTTTAACAACCACGCAAGCTTATCAAAGCAGAGGTAAGCTTTTACAAGCCCACCAATCACCCGCCCATACAGGCTACGTCTCTCGGTCGGAACCCAGGGGAAGAGATCACCATCACAACTCTCCGGGTTTAGTTAAGGGGCAAGCTAACCTTCCTTCAGTCACACACGCGCCCTTGGCTACTGCACCAGTCAGGGTGCAAGATTTTAAAACTGGTTCTCCGAGGCTGGTGTGGCACTGACATTCCACCATCTACAAAATTTATATTTCCACCAACCGTTCCCAACCTAAAGGCGGCTTCGAGGAAGGTCCAAGCACCTTTGAGACGCGTCCTAGGATTTGTGCCGGCTCCATGTGGAAGCTCACGTTGCATGCAGGAGCATTTATGTATCTTAATAGTAAGTGATAGTAATATCAAATGTCCTCTCCGCCGTTATAAAAATTAATGTGTGGGTCTGGAAGACGGGGAAAAAGTATGACCTTTGGAGTTAGACACACCTGAATTGGAGTCCACTTATTAGTTCTGTGAAAGACAGTTCACTCCCCTTCCTTAGTCTTTAAAAGAAAACAACAATAATAATACCTATGTTAATTGCCACATTCTATCAGCTCACCCCCATCTCAGTTATTTAAGCCAAAATTCTGGAGTCACTATCTCTGTGTCCTTCCTCCCATTCCTCCTAATTCATCAAAAAATCCAGTTCGTGCCACCACCGGCAGTATTTCAAATGTTCGTCATTTTTCTATCTCCACCACAGGCGACCTTGTCCACATCAGCTTCTCTCCAGGTCCACAAAAGCCTTTTCATTTCTCTCCTGTGGGCTGGCTCCCTGACCACCCACTCCCCCACCCAGGGACCAGGGATGATCTTGCACACACAGACTGGATCAAGTCCCTCCCTTACTGAAACTTATATGGCTTCCTATGCATTTATAATAAAACTCGTAAGATTCAAAACGCCGATAGACTGTGAGGCCTGCACGACCTTGTGTCTGTATCCCCACATCTCCATCTCCAGTCTCATTTCATCCACTCACTCCCACCCCAGTGGCTGCAGCCACACGGGCATTTTCTTTTCTTAATTTTCTTTTCCTGTCTCAGAGCCTTTGCACATTCTTTTTCTTTGCCTGGAAAATGGTTCCTTGGTTCTTTGCATGGATGGCAAAAAATATTAATAATAATCTTTTTCAGATCCCAACTTAATCACCACCTTGTCTGGGAGGACTTTCCTACATGTTTATATAGCCTCTTCCCATTCCTCACCTCTCTATGCTGTGTTCTCGTACCTGTTTCTTCTTCTTACTGCTTAACACAGTTTGAAATTATACATGTGGAGTTACTTGTATGTTATCTCTTTCTATCTCCTCCACCCCCGTTAGGGAGGTAACCCTTGTCTGCTGTGTTCACCAGAGTACACCCCACATCTGGAACAGTTTAAAATTAAATGTACAACAGGTGCTTACATGACATTTCTTGGATGAATGATTGAAAAGATTTTTGAGGAGAAACTGATATGGGAAGTGCTTGGTATGTACTCTGTTTTCAGTAAAAAGGATCCCATGCTTCTGGCAGAAAATTTGGAAAGTAAAATAAGGTGAGGAGATTAAAAATTGTGTGTGCTCCTGTATTTGAAAAGGTTCAGACTCAACTGTTAACCAGGGTTTCCCACCTCAGCACTGTTGACATCCTGAGTGAGATAATCCCTTACTGTGGGTTCTGGCCACCCTGTGTATTGTGGAACTCTCAGCAGCATCTTCAGTCTCCACGCACAAGATGCCAGTAGTAGCTGACCCCCAAGGGATGAGGACCCAAATTATCTCCAGGCATGGCCAAATGCCCCTTGGAGTTCAAAATCACCCCTGATTGAGAACCACTGTGTTAGGCCTTTAGCCTTATAGGAAATTTTCTCCGCATAATTCAGTGTTTCTCACTCTTCAATGTCCATGACAATCATCTACAGTCATTAAACATTCAGACGATCGGGTGCCACCTCCAGGTTCCAGGGCCAACAGTGAGCCCAGGATTCATGCGTTTAAATGACCTTCCAGCTGCTTCTGATGCACTGGTTCCTCAGACCCCACTTTGAAAACTCCTTCAGGAAGCCTCCCTGATAACCAGATAAGCAAGCACTCTGTGAGGCTCCCTACTCCCTTGTCCCTATCCTTGAATTCCTCTCTTTTCCAATTACCCTCGCTTGGATATTTTTTCAAAGTAGTGACAGAACCAAATTCTAGCTCAGCCAGAGCTGCATCTACCTTTAGGGAATAAACAAAAGCTGACCCCAAAGTTCAGCTGAAACTCCTTAGCAAGTAGCAGCATCCCCAACCAAAAGGAATCCCGAGTTGCTGACTTAAGTACCAGCCGCACAGAATGGTGGTGTCACACTGCCTTCTCCCTGATGGACATAGTCCCTTCCTGCGACTGGTGCTAAAGGCTCCGTGGTGAGGCTGGTCATGGTGGTCAACGACAGAGCAATCCATTGACTCGATCTACCTTTCTAGACCAATCTTCCAGGCTCCTGTACATACAGTCTATCTGCAAGCTGCTCCCACCTACTCCACTTTTCTCCTTTCAGGCACATGACAGGATTATACTTCCTGGCTTCTTTTGCCATTAGATGTGACCATGTGACTTGTTTCTGCTAATGAAACGTGAGCAGAAACAATGCGTGGGGCACCTGGGCAGAAACGTCAAGAGCGAGTGCTGCAGTTGTGGACGCCAGTGGAGATACAGAGTCACCAGGATGAGAACCCAGCCGCCAGCCCCTGACAGACGTGTGCCATAATGAGCGAGAAGCCTCGGCTGTGGTGAGCCACTGAGTCTTGGGGCTTTTTTGTCATTGCAGCATCGCCTTGCCTCACCTACCCTGACTGAATATGATCTTTCTAAAGCTTCACTGATTTTCCTACAGCCATTTTGATTTTGTATCTGAAAACCACCTACAATATTACTTCACATTTTTTTTATATCAATTCACTCACTTTTATGTAGATTTACTGTAGAAGGAAATGTTATTATGACCAAACACCAGTATCCTAAGTAGAAAGTGATGGCAAAATAAACAGAATGAAATAAACCATTATATTATATCATGACTTAAATAATACTGTTGCTGTTTCAGGTCCCTGGGCCCTTGGTCTGCTCTTTTGTTCAGAAAGGAGGTTCCTAAGTTTCTCCATCTTTTGGACCCCCAAAAGCTGGCTGAGCCTGTCAGATGTTTGGAGGCAGCATAGAGGCTGAGAGTACAAATTCTAGAGCCTGACTTTCTGGGCTTAAATTCTGTTTCTGTCATGGACAAGCTGTGTGACCTTGGGTGAGTTCCTTCACTGTTCTGTGACTGTCTTCTTGTTTGCAACATAGGGATAATAATGACGTATATATCACTGGGTTGTTGTGGATTATTTGTGTTAACATACAGAAAAACAGTTTACAACTATGTCTGGCACATTGTGAGTACGATATAGATGTTAGGCCTAAAATAATGGCAGGATCAAGATCCAGGTAGATTTGGAGAAATGTCTGAACTCAATGAAGAGGAATGAAAAATCCTCCACACTGGTTAAAAATAAATCACCTGAACAGTGTGTATGGGGACAGCCCCATCTTAGTAGCAGGTGACAACCAAATTCTAAAGGTTTTACATGGTGGCAGCTGCCCAAACCTCTAAAAAAGTCTTGTGTGGCTCTAGCCGAGATGTAGTGCTCAGGTTACAGGAGCCCAGAGGTCCTCTGTGTTCTATCCTTAAAGAACTATACATGTGACATCAAAAGAAAAGACAACTCTAGCAAAAATAAACAAGTGGGACTACATCAAACTAAAAAACATGTGTATAGAAAAGCAAACCATCAACAAAATGAAAAGGCAACTTAAGGACTGAGACAAAATATCTGCAAATCATATATCTGATAAGGAGTTAATATCTAAAATGTATGAACTCCTGTATCATAGGATGAGACAGGATGAGAAAACCATGCCCTTTGAAGAATAACTGAAGATGCAAAGGAGTTCTAGGCTGGCCAGTGGGAAAGAGGAGAGGGGCAGTATAGCAGAGTGGTCAAGGCCATTGCCTTTGAAATATCAATGGTACCATATACATAACCATTTGACCTTGTGAAAATTACAAGCTCTTCAAGCCTTATTTGCTTCACCTGAAAAATAGGAATCGCTACTAGGACTTCTTCATAGACGGCTTTCTGGATTAAATGTGATAAACCTTACAAGCCTGGCTGTAGTTGCCTACCATGTAATTGTGTTATTTACTGAATTCAAAGTACTTTCCTTTGGAAAGGAATGTGTACCTATTCTAACAGCCCCAGAGAACAAACCATGACCAACAGATGGATGCTATAGAGGAAGGTTTATACTCAAAATGAAGATTTTTTTTACTGGATACAATGGTTCTACCATGCAGAAAGCTGCTTTATTAAGTAGTGAGCATCCTGTCACTAGAAGTATCAAGTCCAAATTAAATGACTACCTGTCAGGGAGGATGATGAGAGGATTCCAGCAACGGATCAAAGGTTGAATCAGAGTAGCATCTCCCATGTGCAAGTCTTAAAATATAATCAAAACCAAATTTATGTTTTGAAAAACTGATATCCACATGCAAAAGAATGAAGTTGGACTCTTAGCTTATACCACATGTAAAAATAAACACAACATAGATTAAAGATCTACAAATAAAAGCTAAAATTATAATACTGTTAGAAGAAAACATGGGAGAAAATATTCATGACATTGAATTTGGCAATGTTCTTGGATGTGACACCAAAAGCACAGACAACAAAAGAAAGAACAGATAAACTGAACTACACTGGAATTACAAACTTTTGTGTACCAAAGGATAGGATCAATAGACTGAATAAACAACCCATAGAATGGGAGAAAATATTTGTAAATTGTATATCTGAAAAGGGGTTAATATCCATAATATATAAAGAATTCCTACAACTCAACAACAACAAAAATATCCCTCAGTTTTAAAATGGACAAAGGATTTGAATAGACATTTCCCCAAGAAGATATACAAATGACCAAGAAGCACCCAAAAAGATACTCCATATCACCAATCATTAGTAGAATGCAAATCAATGCAAAACCACAGTGAGATAACTCTTTCACATCCATCGGGATGGATATTATTTTTTAAAAAACCAAACAGATAATAACAAGTGTTGATGAGGATGAGGAAAAATTAGAACCCTTTTGCCTTGCTGGTGGGAATGTAAAATAATGTAACCATTATGGAAATGCAGTTCCTTAAAACATTAAAAATAGAATTATCATATGATCCAGCAATTCCACTTCTGGGTATATACCCAATAGAATTGAAAGTAGACTCTGGAAGAGATATTTTTACACCCATTTCATAGCAACATTATTCACAATAGCCAAAAGCTGGAAGCAACCCAAGTATCAATTGACGGATGAATAGAAAACAAAAGTGATCTATACGTATTGTGAAATACTATTCAGCCTTAAAAAGAAAGGAATTTTGATACATGCTACAATATGGATGAACCATGAGGACTTCATGCTATATGAAGTAAGCCAATTACAAAAGGACAGATACTGTATGATTCCACTTACATGAAGTACATAGAATAATCAAATTCATAGAGATAGAAAGCAGACTGGTGATTACCAGGGGTTTCGGGTAGGGAGACATGGAGCGTTATTTTCCAGTAGGTACAGAGATTCAGTATGGGAATGTGAAAACAATTTGAGAGATGGATGGTGGTGACAGTTGTATAACAATGTGAATATATTTAATGCCTCTGAAATGCACATTTAAAATGGTTAAAATGGTAAATTTTATATATATATATGTAATATCACAATTTGTAAAAATGTCAGCAATGTATAAAATATACGTATTGAATCATGACCCAAGTTAGATTTATTCCAGGAATGCAAGGATAGCTTAACATTAGAATGTTTTAAAATAAATTAGCAGACTAAAGGAGAAAAAAATATGATATCTTGGTGGATGTACAAAAAGCAATTAAGCAATTCAACATTGTGATTAAAAACAAGCACTTCTAGCTTACGTAGGAGAAACTAAAAAATCTCAATAAAGGTTACCTACCAAAACCTTATGCAGATATGATACTTAAAGGTCAAAGAGTCCCTTTAACATCAAGAATAAAACAATGTTGTCCACTGAGGCAGAAGATATGTGTTCATCTGTATAATCTAGTCTCTCTGTCTCCCTTTGGAATAGAACCTCCAATTTCTGTTTGAGCATATGGATGCTCCCCCCAAAAGATTCATCTCAAGCCTTCCTTGAAGCTAGGTGAGACCATGCAAATATAGTCTGACCAATGAAGTATAATCAGAAATGTAATATGGAAGCTTCCAGGAACTTTTCTTAAAAGATGGATAAACCATTACTTTTATTCCCTTTTCTTCTTTGTCCCATCCTCCATCTTTCTGCATGTAACATGAATGTGTGGCTGGATCTCTTAGCAGCCATCTTGGACAGTGAGAATGAAGACCTCATGGGGACGGAATAATAGTAGCTAGAAAGAGTATGGGTTCCTGAGGACTGTTATGGGAAGAGCTGCCATACTATCCTTAGATTGCCTCCCTCTGGACTTTTATAAACTGAGGAATAATCTTTTATCTTGTTTAAGCTACTATTATTTTATATCTTAACTACTCATAGACCAACTAAATCCTGAGTGATATTCTCATCATTATTGCTTCTATTTGATATTTTACTGGAGACCCTACCAATGCAATAAGAGAAGAAATTAAAAAGAGATCTAATAAGAAAATTTAGCAAGGTTACTGGATACAGTTTCAAAATATTAAAAGTATTTTGTTTGTATACACTAACATCAACAAATGAGAAAATTCAATTTTTAAAAAGTATTTATAATAGCAATAACAATTATGAATTATCTAGGAATTAATCTAACAAAAGACTTTTATGTATAAAGTTATCAAACTTTGTTGGAAAATATAAAAGCCAACCTATATAAAGGAAGACCTACAGTAATGTATCATGTTCATGGCAGAAGGATTCATTATGTAGAGATGTCAATTCTTTCCAAATTAATCAATAAATTCAATGGAATTTCAATTAAAAGCCCAACAGGACAAAGCCACTTGGCTCAGTACTTGGCAAATTACAAGCACTCAAAATAGTTGCTTTTATTGAAATCCTGTGGAGGAGACAAATATGCTATTGGTCTTTAACTTTTGTTATGTCCTGTTCAGTCTCATTCTATAATTTATATGAATGAGCAAATATAATAGACATGAATTATTTTTAAAGAACTACTGTATAATGAGCACATCCTCTGTAATATTAGAGCTATAGCTGGACTGTCCAATAGGGTAGCCACTAGCCCCATGTGGCCATTGAGCATTTGACATAGTATAATTCAATTAAGATGTGCTGTAAGTATAAAATGCACATCATATTTTGAAAACCAAGTATAAAAAAGAAGTGAAAAATATCTCATTTTATTGATTAGATGTGAAATGATAATATTTTGTGTGGGGATAAATAAAACATTAAATAATTTCAACACTTTTGGGGGGCTTTTTAAAGATAAAACTTTCTATTTTGGTATAATTATAGATTCACTCACCTGGGTTCTTCTTCTTATTATTATTATGTTTAAATGTGGCTACTAGAGATAGATAAGTGGAACAGTATGTAGAGCCTAGAAATCGATCTATGTATATTTGAAAATGAGAAACAAAAGGGATGGCATTGCATATCAGTCAAGGATATCTTATTCAATAAATGGTGCTGGGGCCATGATGTCGCGGATCACGGGGAGAACAGTGTAGCACAGAGATGGCACATAGTTGATCTGTGGCATCTTACTGCACTGATGGACAGTGACTGCATTGGGGTGTGGGTGGGGACTTGATAATATGGGTAAAGTAGTAACCACATTGTTTTTTCATGTGAAACCTTCATAAGAGTGTATATCAGTCATACCTTAATTTAAAAAAAGAAAAAAAAATGATGCTGGGCCAATTGGTTAGACATATGAAGAAAACTATAATGGCATCTCTACCATACACAAAAATCAGTTCCTATGGAATAATGACCTAAATACGAAAAATAAAACTTTAAAAGTTATAAAAAATATTTAGCATAATATCTTTATGATCTCAGGGCACTGCAAGATTTATGGACAAGACACAGAAAGCACGAACCATAAGGGATAATATTATTAAATTTAACAACCTTATTTATAATTTAACCAAAATTTAACTACTGCTGTTGACCTTTGAACAATGTGAAGGTTGTTGTGATTCCCTGCACAGCTGAAAATCTGCACATAACTTTTGACTCTCAAAAAACAATAGCCTACTGTTGATTTTATGGCAGCAAATGATAACATAGACTAGCATATACATATATTTTATGCATTCATGACATACCTGACACTTTCTTAATTTTTTTGATATTTCTAGGCTATGCGGTTTCTCTGTGAGTTTTTTCAAATTGTCACAAATCTCAAAAAAATTTCCCAAATACATTTATTGAACAAATTCATGTATAAGTGGACCCCTGCACTTCAAACCCATGTTGTCTAAGGGTCAACTGTACATTATAATTGTAAATTTCTGTTCAACAAAAGATATTCTAAAGAGAGTGAAAAGACAAGCTACAAACTGATCAAAGATATTTTCCACTAAAATAACTGACAAAGGATTTGTATCAAGAGCAAATAATTCTTTCAAATCGATAAGAAAAAGTATATGATGTAACAGAAAAATGGGTAAAGGATATGAACAAGCACACTCACAGAGCAAATTCAGAAGCCCAAAAGAGCCTTTACCTTCTTCTCTCGTAATAGGGGAAATGCAAATTCTCATTCTACATTCATCATCTTTCAGAATGAAGTGCTGGTGAGGATGTGGAGCCACCAAAACCCCTAGACAGCACTGACTGAAGTGGTAGTTGGTAAGACTGAGCAATTTACCAATATCTCAACAATGCGAAGATGCTCGTTGCCTGGGATCCAAAAATTTCATCCCTTCATGTCACCCTAAAGAAGCCCTCATCCGCAGGTATATGAATATTCTTTGCAGTATTGTTTAAAATAGTGAAAAACTGGAAAACAAGTCCATTGTCAAAACCAGAATAAATATACTTGGGATAGTCACACAAAGCATTTTAAATAAGTGACCTAGTGCACGGGAAGATCCATAATGATCTTATGTGAGTGAAAAAAGGACTTTGCTGAAGGATATGTACAACATTCCATTTGAATATATTTTTGAGATATGCAAAATAATACTATATATTGTTTATGTAGCCACGCATAGTGAAAGTATAAAAACATGTTTGGTAATGATAAACAGCAAATGTTGACAGTGGTCATCTAGGAGAAGGGCGGCAGGACAATAATGTCAGGAAATGCTACAGGGGAATTTCAACTCTAAATATACTGTTTCACTTCTCATTAAAACAAATCAGATAGGAATCCTGTGCACATGTGATAATGCAGTAGAATTTGACAAAACCACATGATGGGTATACATCAGTGGTCATGATATTATTCTCTATATTTTTCTGCCCACTTGTCATACTTCGTATTTTAAAAACAAGAAATTATGAAAAAAATTGTGTTTCTATATACTAGCAACAGTTTGATCATGTTATTTTATAAAGCATACTATTTTAAACATTTATAAAAATGTTTTTTTTAATTGACAAGTAGATCTAAGCTACAGCATTTCTCTGTTGTGGGGCAGGGAAAGCGTTCATGGGTGTTAGTGTCTTTCTTGGGCTCTGTGATGAGCTAATGTGGGCACACGGGAGGCTGTCTCGGAGTGCCCAAAGCACTGCCATGTGCTAGGAGCTCTGAGAAGTTCTGATAAGGGAATCTGTACAGCTTTCTTTAACCCAGCGTTTTTCAAACATCAAACAATAGAATCCTTCTTGTGTGAGTGGCCTTGGGAAAGGCTGACCTCCTGACCTCCAGGGTCTGCCATTCTAGTTTTGGGTCTTTGGCTGACTTGTTGGTCAAATCAGCTTTCCTCTTGTGGCCTCAGTTTATTGAGGTATTAAATGAGATCTCTTACCTGTTTCCAGCTCTAAAACCCCATGTCAGAGCCCTGCATTAGCATAACAGTTCGTTTAGTTTTATTCTTCCATTAACTTTTTATTATTTAACTGAAGCAGGTTCATGATAGAATTACAAAAATGCACAGAAGCAAAATAAAAAGGAATTAAGTGCATTCCACACTGCCACTGTGGGCCCTTTTTCAAAAGGTATGATGCTCGCTAGAATTTACGGAGTACTTCTGTGCAAAGCACCGAGCTAGGAACAGGTCCCTTCTCATCCTCGTTTTACACAGGAGGAGGAGTCTGAGGGTCAGAGAAGCCACCTACCCAGGGCATACAGCTTGCAAGGCTCTAGCCCACGTCTTCCTGACTGCCCCCAAGTTCTCAGCTACTACCATATAAGGCCTCCCCATTTGAAGGGGGCTTCATCTCTGCCCAGAATCTTTTTCTTCCCTGCTGAGTCCTTCAGGATTCTCTCATCTCCCCAGAGGAGCTGTGGACATTATCTCCTGCAAAAGCAAAGTCAGCACTTCTACCATAGAAGGGCCTGTATCCCTCTCTCCCATTCTGTCCACCTTATCTCTAGGAAAACTATGACTTACCCTGGAGAAGGCGGGGAAAAGGGGTAAGCCTCTCCCTACCCCAACTCTACCTCCACAACTCACTGGATTTTGGGTAAATTAGGCAGGCTGGAGACAGAAGAATGGTAGTGTAATTAAGTTTCAAATTGACTATTGTTTTATGTGAATGTCTGATAAAGAAAACACAATGGCTGCCAGGTGGGGGCTGGGAGGTGAGATTTCCCAAGTGGAGAATTCTAGAAGACAGGCCTGGATTTCTGGAGTCTGGATCCTCCTGACAAACAGGTAGGCAACAAAGGTGGGAACACCAGAGATATTGTAGGTTAGGAAGAAGACCCAGCCAGAAGCCCACAAGGTTTGACAAGGACTGGTCTCTTCAGAATGGGAAAGCAAGGCTGGATGCATTAGCAGCGAAACTGGCCACCGCTGTAGAATCCAAGGGCCCAGAGCAGCACCGTCCAACAGAAATACAAAGTGAGCCACATATGTAATTTTAAATGGGCTGGTAGTCACATTAAAAATTAATAAACTGATGAAATAGGAGATTGTCCTCACACACAGTGAGCTTCCCTTTGGTCGTAGCAATGGGGTCCCAAACTCAAGGGCCCTTAATGCCCAGATAGGGATATGGAGCAGATGGGCTATCAGCAAATTTCATACTTTTCTGTAACGAAAAACAGTACAGCAAACATAATGGTTTATGTTCATTAGTGTGACTTCAGTGTGGAGATACATTAAGGAATGGTAGGGACTTCGGCAAATTAGAGAAAGCACCCACGGTCTAGATCAGCTCTGTGCACTTTTGCCTCAGGAGTATGAGGGGTCAGTGTTGCTAGCGCTTCCCATTTTTTTGAAAGAAGCCACAAGTTGGGATTTTTAAAGGTTAGCAGTTAATTCAAATTTTATTTTCAAAAACACTGGGTGGGCTGAATCTCAACCCCTAATCTCCTTTAAACCCTTGTTTTAGGGAGGAGGAAATGGAGGTTCAGAGGGGTTAAATATTTTCCCAACTCAGAGCAAAGACAAAGAGCTGGCTTCTCAGATCGTTTTGTTACTTCCGCTAATAACCAGCATTGATTTTTCCACTATTCTTATTGAGAATGTACTAGGTGCCAGGCTCTGGCATGCGGCACCACAGAGGTACTGCTTATGAGGCCAGATTTAAAGAGGGGAAGCCAGGGTTCAGAAAGGTGGAGTAAATCGCCTAAGATCACACCGTGGAGCTTGAACCCGGGTCTGTTTGATTACAGGACTCTCGGTGCTCCCTCTGGCCTCACTCCCTTCCACCTCACCACGCTGAAGACCCAGCAACCAGGGAACACGACGGTTACCCCCGGGTCTACTTCAAAAGGGCCCGGGGCTGCCGGGAGAGCTGTGACCTGCATATCCACGCTTGTTGGAACCTGAGCATTCCCACCCTGGCTTCCAGGTAAGATTTCATTTGAAGAAAGAATGCCACTGCCATTTTTTTTTTCTTTTTAAATTTGAAAACCACTGATCTTCCCGAAGTCCCTTGATTTCCAGGGGAAGAAACTGAGTCCCAGAGATGACAAGGGCCTGATGTTCCTTTTCAAGTCAGAACCAGAGTCAAGACCAGCCCAGAGGCCAGGCCCTGTCTGGGAAGCTGCCCATTGGGTATGCCAGGGCCTCCCTCAGCTCCTCTGGGCTCTGCCCCGGGAAGGGCCAACTGCTCTCTCTCTGTTTCTCACCACCTCCTCCGCCCTTCCTCACACCTTGTTTGGATAACTTTTTGACCTGTTCCTTCACAAGCTCCCTCTGAGGTGTGGCTGCCTCCGCAGCTTGTCCCAGGGAATCCTGGGTCCTTGGCAGCTTGGCGGCCCAGGTTGGCCGGTCCCACGGCAGACAGTGGTCAAACAGTGGTTGTCTGGACAGAGGGAGGCCTGTTTACCCAGGGCAGGGCCCAGGCAGAGGCTGCAGCTTCCTCCCCACACCACTGGCCCTTCCAGCTACTCAGCATACTGACTCAGCTGTCCCCATCTGTACTTGCTCATTCCACAAATATTGATGGGGCGCCTACTGTGCACCAAGCACTGTTCTACATGCTGAGGATATCGCTAGCAACATGGCAGACAGCTCTATCTCCAGAGCTGTAGAGGATAATAACATTGATAGTGATGGGTGGAAATGGGCAGTTTTAGATTTGGGTGGTCAAAGAAGGCTGCTCTGAGTGGGGAAGCATTCAAGCTAAGACCCAAACTATGAGAAGATACTGGTTATAGGAAAATCTGGGAAAGGACGTTCCTGGCAGAGGGAACAAGCAAGCACAAAGGCCCTGGGGCAGGAAAGTGCTTGGCATGATTGAAGGATAGTATAAAGGCCTATGTGGCTGAAGTGGAGCAAGCGAAAGGGAGAAAGACAGAAGAGGCCAACAGAGGGCCAGACAATAGTCAGATCTCTGGGGACTTTCAGGTCAGGGAAAAGAGCTCACCTTGAATTTTCAGTGCGACACAGAGCTATGGGAAGGTGAGGGACTTTAAATATGATTGTATCTGAGCTTCTTCTGTAACTTTAACTGCTTTTTCTCTCTGTGGCTTTCTGTCCTGGGACTCTTGTTTTCAGGTACACTTGATAGTGTTTGAAATAGCATTTAATTATTCCCTTTCCTTTTAAATTAAAAAAAAAGTTTAGATTTAATCAAAGCTGTATAGGTGCACAGTTGAAAATATCAGCTACTTCTACAGAGCTGATACTGAGGAGCAGTAGTTTCCCTCCCAATCTTTCCTGAACCTGATTCCCATCACCCAGAGGCAACCACTTGCAACTGTTTCGCTAGGTTTCCTCTCTGGTGCTTCCTCTGTATTTCCTACAGATCACAGATTGCTACTTCTTAGTTTCCCAGTTTTAGATACAATGTGTTAACTTTGCTAATAGGAAAGATCCTATATAACTATTTCCCAATTTGGAGATGAGTGAATATTCGTTGTTTTTATTTGTATAACTTCACAATAACACTCTAAGGTAGATGTTGGTTCTAATAATACTAACACTTTACATCCAGTGATATTGCAGTTTGCATAAGACCTTTGCACCCATCCTCTTCATCTGTAGAGGTATCCTGAGAGGTAAGCAGAAGTGGCATTATTAACCCTGTTTTCAGAGGATGACATGGAGCCTGGAATAATAAAGAAAATTTCACTTATTGCAGTGGGGAGAAGTGGTTAAAATAAAACCCATCTTTCAGCCAATATGGAAGGAGTCAGGGTCTCTGTGAAGGAGATAATCTATCTTACATTTTGGGTTTGTTTATTATATCAGCTAGTATTGCTCTTACTAATACAGTGTCCAGATTTGAATCCTGGCCCTGACTCTTATAGTCTGTATGGTTTGGGTAAGTTACTTAACTTCTTTGAGGCTTTGTTACTTCTAAGAAATGGGTATGATGATGGTACCTATCTCAATAGGCAGTTGTAAGGATTAAGGGAAGTAATTTTTATAAAGTGTTTAGAACAGTGCCTGGCCCATAGTATGTACTATATAAGTGATCAAATAAACCAGAGCTAGAAAATAAATGAGCCAGGACCCAGATCTGGGCCTTCTGCTGTCAAGTTCAGTATCTGACCCCCAAACCCCAGGGATTTGTACTTCCCTGTACAATTTTCACCATATCTGCCTATTGCCTGTACTTTTCTTACCTTTAATTATTTGCTTGATATTTTTTGTTCTTTTGATGACATGTTATTTTTAAAGGATATTTTATATTAGTGTTTTAATATGCTACTTATAAATTTCTCCAACATGGAGCAAAATAAACTCAATGAGATTTAAAAGTTTTTATCCATGTACTACTTAAAATCAGCCCCTGTACCCTGTGGGTACACCTAAGGAAACTGCTATTTGGGGTCTATAAAGAACCTTTGGGAACATTCTGTCCAGTGGCTTTTAAACCCTTTTGACCATGACCCTCAGTAAGAAACACATTTTACATCACATACTTTATATACAGTGGCAGTGAAGGGTGGTAGTCAAAACGCAGATAGCAGAGCCCAGCTGCCTGGGTTGGAAACTCAGCATCACCTCTTAATGCCTTGGTGACTTTTGCTGAGTGTCTTACCCTCTCTGTGCCTCCATTTTCTCATTTATAAAATGAGAATGGCAATAATAGTATCCACTTCACAGGGTAGTTGTGAAGTAAGGAGTTAATATGCATAAAGCCCTAGTAAGTGCTTTATAAATTTTTGCTATTATCGCAACCCTCTACACACATCCATAAACATATATAAATGAAACGAACATTTCTCACACACCCAATTTACTCTTACAAGATGTACTGGGATGATTTTTATTCTATCTTACTTCATTTAAAAAAATGTGATCATCTTTGTGGAATTTCAATGACCCATTTGTGATTTAGGCAAGAAATGAAAACAGAAGAAGTATTGATTATGTGATGAGCATCTGTGCTGAAATTATTTTGTCCAGCATAATGAAGCTATGAGGGGTAGAGCAACAGATTTGGGTCCCTACCACCTTGGATGCTGCCGATCTGCAATTTCTAATGAAGACTATTGAACTGTACTTTAGGAATAATATATCTGTTTAAAACCAAAATTATGTGCTTCAAAGGCTTGAAAAAAATAATATTCAGTATATTAAAGCAAGAGTCCACAAATTACAACCTGTAGAATAAATCTGGCCCACTGCCTATTTTTGTAAATAAAGTTTTATTGGGACACAGCCACGATCATTCATTATTTATTGTCTATGGCTACTTTTGTGCTACAAGAGCAGAGCCGACTAGTTGTCACACACCCCATTTGACCTTCAAAGCTGAAATAGTTTAGTATCTAGCCTTCTACAACAGAAGTTTGTCAACCCCTACATTAAAGTTACAGTTCAAAACCCTCAAGCTTAAGTTGAATCTTATTCTATTCATATCTTATTTTATACTACTTACAAGTCTAACAAATTATAATGGTTATAGTTTCCCCAAAGTTTTATTTTGAAAAATTTCAAGCCTACTAAAGATTGAAAGAATAGTTCAGTAAACCTGATAATATCCTTTACCTAGATTCACCATTTTGTAGCATTCTGTTACATATGCTTTGTCCCTATCTATCTTCCTATGTACTTTTTGATTGAAAGATTTAATCTAAAAAATTGCATATTCACATTTGTTATACATATTTGACTCTGTGTGTGTGTGACCCCATGACAGAGGTGGTCAAGGGAGAAGTGGTTAAAATAAAACCCATCTTTCAGCCAATATGGAAGGAGTCAGGGTCTCTGTGAAGGAGATAATCTATCTTACATTTTGGGTTTGTTTATTATATCAGCTAGTATTGCTCTTACTAATACAGTGTCCAGATTTGAATCCTGGCCCTGACTCTTATAGTCTGTATGGTTTGGGTAAGTTACTTAACTTCTTTGAGGCTTTGTTACTTCTAAGAAATGGGTATGATGATGGTACCTATCTCAATAGGCAGTTGTAAGGATTAAGGGAAGTAATTTTTATAAAGTGTTTAGAACAGTGCCTGGCCCATAGTATGTACTATATAAGTGATCAAATAAACCAGAGCTAGAAAATAAATGAGCCAGGACCCAGATCTGGGCCTTCTGCTGTCAAGTTCAGTATCTGACCCCCAAACCCCAGGGATTTGTACTTCCCTGTACAATTTTCACCATATCTGCCTATTGCCTGTACTTTTCTTACCTTTAATTATTTGCTTGATATTTTTTGTTCTTTTGATGACATGTTATTTTTAAAGGATATTTTATATTAGTGTTTTAATATGCTACTTATAAATTTCTCCAACATGGAGCAAAATAAACTCAATGAGATTTAAAAGTTTTTATCCATGTACTACTTAAAATCAGCCCCTGTACCCTGTGGGTACACCTAAGGAAACTGCTATTTGGGGTCTATAAAGAACCTTTGGGAACATTCTGTCCAGTGGCTTTTAAACCCTTTTGACCATGACCCTCAGTAAGAAACACATTTTACATCACATACTTTATATACAGTGGCAGTGAAGGGTGGTAGTCAAAACGCAGATAGCAGAGCCCAGCTGCCTGGGTTGGAAACTCAGCATCACCTCTTAATGCCTTGGTGACTTTTGCTGAGTGTCTTACCCTCTCTGTGCCTCCATTTTCTCATTTATAAAATGAGAATGGCAATAATAGTATCCACTTCACAGGGTAGTTGTGAAGTAAGGAGTTAATATGCATAAAGCCCTAGTAAGTGCTTTATAAATTTTTGCTATTATCGCAACCCTCTACACACATCCATAAACATATATAAATGAAACGAACATTTCTCACACACCCAATTTACTCTTACAAGATGTACTGGGATGATTTTTATTCTATCTTACTTCATTTAAAAAAATGTGATCATCTTTGTGGAATTTCAATGACCCATTTGTGATTTAGGCAAGAAATGAAAACAGAAGAAGTATTGATTATGTGATGAGCATCTGTGCTGAAATTATTTTGTCCAGCATAATGAAGCTATGAGGGGTAGAGCAACAGATTTGGGTCCCTACCACCTTGGATGCTGCCGATCTGCAATTTCTAATGAAGACTATTGAACTGTACTTTAGGAATAATATATCTGTTTAAAACCAAAATTATGTGCTTCAAAGGCTTGAAAAAAATAATATTCAGTATATTAAAGCAAGAGTCCACAAATTACAACCTGTAGAATAAATCTGGCCCACTGCCTATTTTTGTAAGTAAAGTTTTATTGGGACACAGCCACGATCATTCATTATTTATTGTCTATGGCTACTTTTGTGCTACAAGAGCAGAGCCGACTAGTTGTCACACACCCCATTTGACCTTCAAAGCTGAAATAGTTTAGTATCTAGCCTTCTACAACAGAAGTTTGTCAACCCCTACATTAAAGTTACAGTTCAAAACCCTCAAGCTTAAGTTGAATCTTATTCTATTCATATCTTATTTTATACTACTTACAAGTCTAACAAATTATAATGGTTATAGTTTCCCCAAAGTTTTATTTTGAAAAATTTCAAGCCTACTAAAGATTGAAAGAATAGTTCAGTAAACCTGATAATATCCTTTACCTAGATTCACCATTTTGTAGCATTCTGTTACATATGCTTTGTCCCTATCTATCTTCCTATGTACTTTTTGATTGAAAGATTTAATCTAAAAAATTGCATATTCACATTTGTTATACATATTTGACTCTGTGTGTGTGTGACCCCATGACAGAGGTGGTCAAGTATGTACCAACAAATTCATGCTCATCGCACATATCCCAGACTCCTTTGCATTTGGCCAAGGCCATGTGACTAGCTCTCACCAATGGAAAGTGAGTAGAAATGATAAGTGTCACTCTGGGCCAGGATTACTTCTGGGATCTCTAGATGACTATGTGGCAGGTAAGTAAGTTTCTAGCTTACATTTTGTATTTGCTTGTTCCAATAACTAATGACGTCCTAACTAATAGAACCAAAAAATTGTGTGCCCATTAATGGGACAAGATTGCAGTGGAAACACACTGGCCTGATCCTCTAGTTGTCCAAACATTTCTGAACCATGGAGCCATTTCATTAAATGTTTCATTCAGAATTCAAAATGGAGCTTCTCTGGTGTGGAATTGGGGAGGCTAAGAGCCTGGTCCTCTTGAACACCCGCATTGGCCTCAAAATGAAAGCAGAGGCATCTTTCCTGATTCCTAGGTCTCCAGTGAATTATGTGTGATGACCGCTGAACAAGTAAGTCATGTGCCTCCATGTCTGAGAAGAGGAGGTGGGGAGCCAGCAGAAGGACTTGCTGCCCACATCAGAGTCATTTCTCAGGTCTGTGGCCGGGACAGGTCTGTTTCCACCATTTCTATGCCTACCATTTACTCCACATGGGCCCAGACTTACGAACCAGCCATCAGAGAACACTGGACAGCTTGGAACAGAGCTTTGTCCTGACTCTCCAGCCACACCCTTGCATCCTGGAACAGCCAGTTACATATTCCTCATTCATTTCAGTTTGTTCCACACAGCTAAAGAATGCCTAGCACATATAAGCATTCAATCCCTTTCACATGGTAGGTCTATACTCAACAGTATAGACTCAACAGTATACTCAACAATAACAATAGTTCAAATTGAGATGTAATAATAGTAATTACAATAGTAAATATTTACATAGCACTTCCTATGTGCCAGACACTCAGCACTTTACAGATATTAACCTCACTTAATTCTCACAACATATAAAGGAGATGCTATCATCATCATCACATTGGACAGATGAAGAAACTGAAGCACAGAAAATTTAATAATTTACCCCAAGCCACGAGGCTAGCAGGTGGCAATTTGAGCCCAGGCAGTCTGACTCCAGTGTCTGAGCTGCTAACCACAAAGTTATATAGCCCCTTAGATGCTATTATAAGGGGTAGGAAGTGTAGCTTTTTTAAAAAATGAAGATTAGGTGTCGGGCAGACTAGATTTTAATCACTTAGTTGTGTGTGATGCAGGGAGACTTACATAACAACTCTGAATGTCAAATTCCCTATTTATAAAATGAGGATAATACTTTCCCTTTATGGGTTATTGCAAGGGTTAAAAGGGAGAAAACAATTAAAGCAACCAGCATCCTACCCATTGCATAGAAGAGGTTTAAATGGAAACAAATTTTCTTCTTTACAGTTTCATCCTTAGGCTAGAGGCACGTGAGTCAGAAAAGAGAGCAGGCATCATTCTTGCACGTAAGCATCTCATAATCTTTTTAGGAACAAGAGAAATCATCCACGAAGCAATCAGAAAAGTTCCAAGATACTTTCAAGAAAGAATGGAATTAATCGCAGTCAAATGTAAGAAAAATCAGTGCAGTTTACTTGGCTAAGCTCTGGGCCTTTGCATATACTGTTCCCCTTTCCTCTCTTCTGCTGGCTTACTCCTGTTTCACCTTCAGGTTTCAGCTTAGGTATCAGTCCATTCTTCTGGGGTCAAGAGGTCCCTCACCGTGACACTCCTCCTAAGTCCCTTTGTGTTCCCACAGTGCCCCAGTCATCCATATCATGGTGCTCTGTCTTTGACTGCTTCTGGCTTGTCTGTCTTCCCACCAGACTGGCTCTCTCCAGGACCTGAAGCTCTTTTACTCTCCTACATTCCCCCAGTGCCTAGCAGAATGCCTTGTGTACCATAATTCCCCAGGGAAGGTTTGTTGAAGAAATGAACATGTGACCAGTAAATGAATAAATGCAGAAGGCTTCCATTTAATTCTCACAACAGATGAACCATATGAGAGACAAGATCCGCTCTGGGTATCCATATCCCCCTTTATAAAATGGGACAAAATAAGGCAATGGTTTCCATACTCTGACTGACCTAGATACCCAAAATCACATAAGAAATTTAGTAAAAAATAAAATATTCTTGAAACTTATTCCAGGAGATTCTGATTCACCAGGTCTGGAGTGGAGCCCCAAAATATGTTTGTTCAAGAAAGTTTCCCATATGCAGCCAGTTTTGTGAACCATTGAACCACAGGGGTTGAAACTGAATTGAGGTAGGCTGGGAAGATGATGTGGAGAAAGGAGAAAAGGGAAAAAGGTGGGGGAGGCTGTATTTCGGGAATGGGAACAGCCATTCCTGATACCCAGCACAGTCCCAAAGCCAGCCAGTCTAGTGTCTACCAACTTTGGGCCCATCAATCCATCAATGAAATGAAGTACCTTTTCTCTTTCATTAGCTCATAGAATCTTCACAACAACCAAGGTTCATTTGATGAATGAAGAAATTGAAGATCAGAGAGCTAAGGCAAGTGCTCACCATTGCACAGCTTTAAGTGGGAGAGCCACTTATCCAAAGTGCCTCTGACAACAACCTCTGAGAAGGCCTATGGCTGAGGCCATTGGTTAAAGGAACTAGACCTATACACCCAGGAAAGATCAGGCTCATCTGGCCTTTAGAAACATATGCTGCCCTGATGAAGGACTGCTAACCATGTCCAAATTGCGCCCTCTCTTTTTACCTGTTCTGTCCTGAACACCTGCAAGTGCTGCTTTTCCAGCCCAGCCTATCACATACTCCATCCACCCATCCATCCGTCTTTTCATCTATCCACCCTCATCACCTCATTTATCCATACATCCACCCACCCATCTAGCCAGTTACTTATTCATCCACTTATCACATTCATCCACACATCTCTCCATCCATCCCACCCATCTGTCACATCTACTTATCCATTCATCCATCATCTGCCATGCCCACCCATCCATCCATCTACCCACCCACCCATCTTCCCAGTTTTACACTCATCCATTGATCTTATCCATCCATCTCTCCATCCAGTCCATTCCCATCCACCCATCTGCCCACCAACCCATCATACCCATTCATCAAACCATCTACTTATCCACCCACCCAGACATCTCCTCATTCATCCATCCATCTTCCCATTCATTCATTCATTAAATAAACTTCCATCAATGTCAACATAGAGTCAGACCCTGTGGTAGCCTGGAGTATAACAAAAAGAATCAGTCAAATACAGACCTTGCCCTCAAAGAGATTTGAGGTGCTTACAAAAATAACAAGTTCCCAAAAAGCCAAAATAATAATCCAGGGAAGCTTGATGAAAGGAAAACAAGGGTAGGAAAATAACAAAGCTATGAGTCAGGTGAGACACAGATATGCATGCTATAGCATCTCACCCTCACAATTGTTAAGGCAGCTCCAGATTTGCCTCCCTACCTAGAGCCTGGCACCCAAAGTAAATACTGCCACAGAAGAGTCACAGGATACTCAGTTGTGGCAGATGCTGCCCAACAGCCTGCTTCCTTATGACACGGTGGTGTTGTATTTACCCAGGGCACATCTGGAAATGTCTGGAGACATTTTTGGTTGGCACAACTGATGGGGAGGGATGCTCCTAGCATTTAGTGACTCAAAGCCAGGAAGGCTGCTAAACATCTTACTAAGCACAGGACAGCCCCCCACAGCAGAGAATCATCCAAGCCAAGGTGTCAATAATGCCAAAACTGAGAAATTTTTTATTAGAGAACACCAGTTTTGTTTGGAGCAGGATTGTGCCAAACCTCAAGAAAAGAACATTGTCAGTCTAAGTCAGTCTTGGATTTCCCATTTCTTTCCACAAGACACTTGATTTCCCAGTGTTCCTGAACTAGGGAAGTCTGCTGGGAGATGTCTAGAGAAAAATTGCTTTTTGATTACAAAACAAGTGCTTTGAGAATATTCCTCCCAGCTTCAGCCACCTAAGTGCAGGCCTGACGCCTGAGGCTGTGACAGCTACCATGGGTCTGTAATGGGACAAATACAAGGACCAAGAGCCAACATAGTGGGCATGGCAGAGAAGAAGGAAGGGAAGATCATGGATCTGGCTGGCATTGTTAGCAACTGTCATGTTTCTTAAAACCTTCCTCAGTTCATTCATCCACCAATTCTTATTGAGCATTTATTCTGTGCCAGTCACTGTGGGAGTGGGCAAAACTGAACAAACCATTGAAGTCCCTGACCTCATACAGCTTATGGTCTAGTGGGGGGATACAAACACCACAACACACGCGGACAACTGATCAGAGCAATGATGAGAACTGCAGTGCAGAACCCAGTGGGTCGCGAAATGCATTGCCAGGCTGGCAGAAGGTCAAGTTTACCCAATATCACTACACCAAAAGTCAACTCTTTATAGACTGTCCTACTAAGGTTTAAAAATGTGAGCAGCTGGGATTTATTGCATGCTTACTGGTGCCAGGCACTTCTCTAAGCACTCTTGCATTAATTTACTTGATGCTGGCCACAACCTTGCCCTCTATCGCCTCTCCTGAGGCTCTCTGCCCAGCCATATCTGCAGCTTAGCCAAGAGGGTCAGCACAGATGGATGCTATCAGGCCAAGAATCAGATGATTTTGTTTTTTAAACAATCCTTAGCTTTAGTTTTAGCTTCTCTCCTTGGAGATAACATATTATTTATCTGAAGCAACTGTTGTGAGAATTAAGTGAATAGGCATAGATTATCCATCCATCCAACCATCCAGCAAAGGCCTGTTGAATGCTTGCTATGTGATGAGCACAGCGTGGAGGTTGGGATGAAGGGACGTAGGTCATCCTACGAAGTAGACAGACGCAGGAGACAGAGAGACGCTGTCAGGTTATGTCATTATTCTATTAATCTTTGGGAGGAACTCTGTGGGGCCTTCTGTTTACCTCTAGCCTAGGCTGGCGGCCTGGGCTGTCCTTCCTCAAAAGCTATCTGGCTCCTTTGGCAGACAATGAATCTTCTTCTGGCCAAAGGGTCAACCGAGTTTTACAATTGTGTTTAACCTTGGATGAAGCACCTGAGGCAAGCCCACCCCTTTACCTGTGTATCTCTTTTAATCACACTGCCTCTTGTGAGATAGGTCCTGTTGTTGTCTCCACTTTACAGATGAGGAAGTAGATTCATAGAGGGGAAGTGACTTGCCCAAGGTCACACAGCTGGTATGGGGAATGTGTCCCCAGGCCATTTTTAGTTCTTCAGCCTCTGCTGTTTCCATTGCCTCACAGATGCCTGCTTGATGGTCTGTCAAAGAAGGAAGGTTCCTGGGACCAGCCAGGACACCAGTACCTGGTTCCTTGAGACCATCTGTCCTCAGATAATGAGGATAATAACTGATACTGACTACGTCCTTACAGTGCACGTACACCCTTGCTTTCCTTTGGTCCTCCCTGAAGGCCCTAAGATACCCTATCCTCACTTCAGAGAGAAGGCAGCCAACGCACAGAAGTGCCGAATAATTTGTCTAAAGTCGCAGAACAAGAACCGAGATCTACAGGATGCCAGAGGCCAAGCTCTGTGTGCGCATGCGATTTCAACTTATAAAATGCACCTACTTAATAAAATCCAAAATGTGCAAAAACAGTATAAACAAAAAAATTATGCAAAGCAAAAACAAAAACGTTTTCTTGGATCTCCCTCCTTCTTCCTCAGAACTCTGTTAACCGGTCTCTTTTCCCTTCCACTAGTTTTCTATGCAAATACAAATGTGTGTACATATGTATGGGTATATCCGTTCTCTTATCAGAAATGTAATATGCTATACACAGTCCTTCAGCTTTCTCTTTTCACTTAATGTAACTTGGAAGTCCTTCCCTACCTGCACACAGGTCTGCAGTTTTTCTCTTCAACAGTGGGATAGCATTCCATCCTAGAGATGCATCATGCTTCATTTACCCATCCTCCACTGCGGGACATTAGGGTTCTTCCAATTTTGGAGTCACCCTGACCGGTAGCCCTGAGCCCTTCACCATCGGTAACACGCTCTCCCTGAACCTCGTCTCCAAGTTTCACACATAGCACAAGAGCATTTCATTTTCCAACGTTTCATGCTCTGCCTTGCTTTACATGGCTTCCCCTTGGTGAATTATTCAGAGCTGATGGCCCTCCATGGAGGGGCTGCCAACCCTCCCCTTGGGTCTCATTCCCCCTAGACAGGAGCCGGCCCAGTGCTAGGCCCAGCAAGGCTGGCTACAGGCTTCAGCTTGTCCCCAGGGCAAAGTGGGGATGATGCTTCCAGCCCCACCCTCTGTGGAATTTCCAAAGGCCCCTTGAGATGCATCTGCAGGCAAGCGGTCTTAGCAGGCAGCATGAGCCAGGCCCCTGCTCTGGGATTACTGCAGCCCCTCCCATACCAATCCGCCATGCTCCTGTTTAGGGAGCTCAGTGAAAAGAGTCCCATGTCTTCCCTGAGGTTCCCGTCATCCTAGAGGAGCCTTTCCAGGGTCTCAGGGGCCCTTAGAAGCACACAGGGGGTTGTCCCATGGCCTCCCAAACTTGACCATGGTCCTGCCTGTCCAGTCCCCCGCCAGCTCCAGTCGCTGGCCCCACTCACCATAGGGACTCTCCACTGGAGCCCCAAGGGGCGCGTTCACACTGACCATGGCGGAGCCCACTCAGCTGGAGACACAGGGGCATGGAGGAGCCGGGCCCCACACAGAGCAGCAGCGGGGCCACCGGGAGCCAGTCCGGGAAGGCAGTGAGTACAGCCAGCTGCCACCGCCTGGTTATCTTATTGATTCTTCTAATCACCCAAGGTGGGTGGATACGTTAAAGAGTAACCAGTCACTTAGGGAACCTGCAGCTGAGGACTGTCACTGTTGCCATGGCAATAGCAACCTGGCCAGATCCGAGGTCCACTAGGGCCCCAGTCCTACATGTAGTTGGGGGCACCTAGAGCTAGATGTAGGGGACACCAGCACCCCCACCACACACACCCACAACTTGAGGTAAGGGACTGGCCAGGAGGGGATGGGGAGGTGAGAGTCCAACCTGGGTTGGGTTTTATGGCTCTGCAGAATGGGTGCGGCATGAGGTGGGAGGCAGAGGGAGAGGAGAAAAGGAGGAAGGTGGTGGACCGTACTTACTGAGCGCCTACTGTATACCAGGCCCTGTGCTAGGCTCCAATGATACAGAAGTGAGCAAAGCAGACATCACCCCATCCCCTGTGGAACTTGTGGACTAATGGGGCAGATGGTCATTAATCAGATTATATTAAAGATGCCATTCAAAGATAAGATTACCAACTGGTGAGTGTTATGAGGGATGGAGAAACACAGGCCTGATTCCAAACCCCTGGGCCAGAGGCTCTCTGTCTGGCACCCCACCCCACTGCTGAAATCTGCATTCTGGTCTCTGCATCAGAGCCATCCTGCATTTTAGCTCTCTTGTATACTGGACGCTTGCTGCCTGGCTTTTGGGGGAACAGTCCCATTTCTCTTGTCCCAATGCTGGATCTTGAGGCCTGATTTGGGATTCCCAAATCAAGGTCTTCATCATGTTGAAGTGCTCAAAAGAGAAGCAGTAAAACCGGGGACTCGGCAGAGTCAGCAAAGCCCAGCTCCATCATTGTCTTGCGGTACAGATTTTGGCAAATCATGCCATCGCCTGACAGTAATAGCTCCCGCTGACGTTGCTCCACTTTTAAGACAGCTAATTATTCACGAGAGCTAAGAAGCCTCCCTGTCCAGTCTCTTCCTTCCAGGACGCTTGCTCAGCCACCTCAGGGTGCCTTCCAGGCCCCTCCTGATGGACACTGGGGTTGTTTCCAGGGCTTCGTTCCTTCTCTTCTCACCTGACCTGCCTCACTTTCCCGTCTTCTCTTCCTCCCACCCAGTTGAAAGCCGCAGTCTGTTATCTTTGTTTTGCTCTTGCTTCTCTCTCAGTTCCTTTCTTTCAACCACCTGATGAACATCCGAGCCTGGATGAACCTAAGCATTTTGCTGTCTTCACACCTACATGCTGGCAGCCAGAAAAATCACTTAGAGGACGGATGGCGGCCACCATAGGTTCATGATCACTGCCTTCAACAGATCCCTCCCCACTGAAAAACTTCTGCCCCGCCTCTCTTCTCCTTGCTCTTCTGCTCTCTACGGCTATTTCAAACCTTTTCTCTCCCCAAACTCTTTCCATTTTCACCCTGAGGAGGATGAGACCTTACCTTCTTCATGGAGAAAAGAAGCCCTAAACCTGGCCCTGCCTGAGCTCCCCACCCGAATCCACCTGCCTTTGCACTTTGCTCACCCACTGGCGTCTGCCCTTCCTACTACTTGGAGCCCCACATGACCACATGTGATTTCCCTTATATATGCAGCCTCTCCCTCCTTAGACTTTTAGATCAACTTTATTGAGGTATAATTTACATGTAATAAAATGTACCCTTTTTTGATGTCCTTAATTAAGACACAGAACATTTCCATCACCACCAAAAGTTCCCTTCATTCCTCTGCAGTCAGTCCCCCAGCACCTCCTATTCTATGCAACTGCTGATCTGCTGTCACTCTAGATTAGGTTTGTCTGTTCTAGAATGCATAGAAATAGAATCCAATGGCATTTACTCTTTTGTGTCTGGCTTCATTTGCTCAACATGCTTGAGAGATTCATCTATGTTCGTGTCCTTTTTCCTTGCTGAGTAGTATTCCATTGGGTGGATCTACTAAAATTTGCTCTCCTGTTCAGACGTGGGAGTTATCTCCAGTTTGTGGCCATGGTGAACTAAGCTGCTGTGTATATTTGTGGGCAAGTCTTTGTGTAGACATATGTTTTCATTTCTCTTCATTAAATTTCTAAGGCAAGAATTGCTGTTTGGTATATTACATATATGTTTAATTTATAAGAAACTCCCAAACTATCATCCTAAGAGGTCAAACCATTTTTTATTCCTGCCATCAGGGTAAGAGAGCACCTGTTTGCTCCACATCCTTATCGATGTTTGTTATTGTCAGTATTTTTAACTTCAACCATATGGTGTGATCTTTCCTTTTGCTTTTGTTTGTTTTGAACTAGTTTTATGAGTGAAAAGAGTTCTGCTTTCATGTGTTAAAAATGACAATCGTACAAATAGCATATCATGAAAAATAAGCCTTCCCCTTGCCTTAAATCCTACATCTTATTCCTTTGAACTTTTAAACAAATTTTTGCATACATTTCCAGGAATTATACATATACCCACACATACACAAGGCTATGGATGGAATTGTGTGCTCCCGAAATGCGTATGTTGAAGCCCTCCCTCACCCCAATGTAATTGCATTTGAAGATAAGAGCTTTACGGAAGTAGTGATGGCTAAATGGGGTCATAAGGGTGGGGTCCTGAGCCTATGGAATTAGTGTTCTTACAAGAAGAGACACCAGAGTCCACTCTCTTTCCCTGCCATGTGAGGACACAGTGAGAAATTTCCTGTCTGCAAGCCAGGAACCTATTTTGGTTACCAGAACACATCTATTCTGGTGCCCTGATCTTGGACTTTCTGCCTCCAGAATTATGAGAAAATAATTTTCTTTTGCTTAAGCCACCCAGTCTAAGGTATTCTGTTGTGGTTGCCTGTGACTCACATATACACACAAATGTAAATGCGTATAGATACTCAGGAAGATATTAAACACACTCTTCTGCCACTTGCTCTTTTCCCCCTTAGTATCTAAGGGCCATCTCCCTACCAGCGTACCTACCTCATCTCTTGAGTAGCTACATAGCATTCCATTGTGTGGATGCTCCATAAGTGATTTTACTAGTGTCTCATTGCTAGACACTTAGGTTATTTCCAAGCTTTTGTTACCACAGTGAATGTCTTTGTACACTGACATCTCTTCCTTTAAAAGCCCTCTTCCCTTGGCATCCAGACACTATAGTCCTGGTTTTTGTCCTCCTTGATTGCTCTTTTCTTCCCTCTCTCTTGACATTTTATGCTTCTCTATCCTTAAATACTTGAGTTTCTTGGGGCTTAGTTCTAGATTTACTTCTTTTTTTTTTCTCCTTCTCTATTATCTCTCCATAAGGCTACTCCCAATCGCATATTTCTAACCTAAGTTTCTACTCTAGAAACCAGATTCATATATCCAACTGTCTTCTACATATTTCCATTTATTTTTCAAATTCATCCCAAATACAATTGGCCCATAATCACACTCTTGCTCTTTATTTCCACCAGAACTCCTTCCCCTGCACTCCCCATCTTGATAAACTGATGCCCTCATCCACTTCGACTTCATCTCCTTCACATCCTCTCCCAGCCACTACAAAGCCCCCTTGATTCCACTTTTTAAACATCTCAAAAATGTATCCATTTTTCTCGGCTTCCAGGATCATCATCTTGATCTAAGCCACCCTTTTTTCTCACCTGGATCACTGACATAGCCTTTTTCCTGAGTCCCAGCAACCGCTCTGGCCCTGTCAAATCTATTCCCCATGAATATGGCTGGAATTATCTTTCAAATGCAAATCTGACATGTCATTCCACTGTTAGAATATTGCTGTACCTCTTCATTGTCTTCAAGTGAAGTTCCAAGACTGTTCATGACCTGGCCCCTGCCTCCTTTCCCAGGGTCATTTCATGCCCTTCCACCCCACCACACACATCAGGTCTTCTTTTAGTTCTGATATGATCCCCAGCTTTCCAGCCACATTGTCATCACTGCCTCAGAGCCTGACCAGCTTCTCTTCATTAAAACACAGCCCTCTGCAGGAAGACCCACATGGCTACCCATTCTGGTTTAGCCTGCACTCAGAATACCCTGTTCTTCTCCAGGGGGCATTTACTTCCATTATAATAAAGTATTTGTATTCATCTTCTGTTGAACTCCTGACTAGTCCTTCTAGAATTATAAGCTCTAGGAACACATTATAGATCTCAGAGGTGGATAAGCTTTTTCTGTAAAGGACCACACTGTAAATATTTTAGGCTTTAGGTGTACAGACTCTTGCAGCTACTCATGTCTTCTGTGGAAGCCTGAAAGCAACGATAGACAATGTATAAACAAATGAGCATGGTTGTATTCCAATAAAACTTTATTTATAAAAACAGTAGTGGGCCAGATTTGGTTTATAGGCTATAGTTTGCCCACCCTGATCTATATATTAATGACTTCTATGCTCAGAGTGGCACTTTTATAGCACTTACTATTCCAGGGGTTTTCCTTGTATTCATTCCTTTAATGCTTCAAATGATGTCATGAGACAGGTACTATTAGTTTCCACATTTACAGATGGGACTGAAGCCCTGAGAGCTTGCGGTAACTTATCCAGAGACACTCAGCCACCAAGTTAAATATGTATCTGGGTGGCCTGGTTCCAGAGCCTGTGCTCTTAACCCTCCTGGTTGGTGAGTGTATGAACAAATGAGCTATCAAATAAGATTGGTGCTGTGTAAATCTTCAAAAAGTATAAAATACTACAGAGGTTTGAAAGTTGTTACAGATTTCTTGCCACAAAAACTTCCCTTTCCCTTGGAACAGCAGCTTAACAAGCCGGGTCCTCTGGGCAACCCCATTCACCCCCAGGTCGGTCTGCAGGCCGCAGCGTGGCCAGGATGAGCATGGCCAACTTGCTCATTTCTCCTTTGGTATGCGATCGTCCCAAAGGCAGGTCAGAAATGGGGAACTCAGGAGGTCAATTGGAGTCCCCACCCTACAATGGCACGTTTTGCTTAATTGTCTCTGCTGTAGACCAATCCCTGAGTCTCTCCCTTCTTGGCTGAGAGGCAAGAGAGTGAATGGGTTAAGACACTGGGCTTGTGGATCCTATAAACATATTCAAATCCAGCTTCTTAGACTCAGTTTTTACATCTGTAAAACAGGGATAGGAAAGGTATCTATCACTTAAGAAAATTGACGCTTCAATAACATTAAAAGTATACCGAACAGTTTATAAGGGCCGGTGGTGGTTGTTCTCACTATCCTGGTACCCAGGGCACAGGAAGGCCATGAGGGGCAGTCAGACTACACAGGCTTTGGGTCAGATGAAGCTGAATTCAAATTCCACGTCTGCTCCTTACTGGCCATGGATCTTATGCACATCACTTAGTTCAGGAGTTCACATGCCCCTTAAATTTCTGGGACAATTTGGGAAATTGACATAGGGTTGGTAAGCCTTTGTTCCCCCCCATATAAAGACATTAAGAACTTTTAAAAAAATCTAACATTTATTATTACCATTGTTTTATAAATGATAGCACATTTTAATACCCTCCACTAAAATAAGGATACAATCCGAGAATAAGGAACTTAACAACAGTGTCCTTGTTTCTCTTATTTTATAGCATTTGGAAATGGACACTCACCCTACCCTTCATTTTTCTCATGTGTAAAAGGGAGTGATGACACATACTCACGCACGTGTGCACTGATCTGGCCACCACGCCTGGTGCCAGGTGGGGGCTGAGGGGCCATTAGCCGCCTTTCCTGGTCTTCCTCTGGAGCCGGTTTCCCCCTCACTTCATCTCTCCCTGCCTGATGTCCTTCTCTCCTCTTCGACCCTCCTGGGAGTACAGTGAGGAAGGGAGGGACCAGAAAGAGCCACTGGGTCAGATCTCAAAGGACTTCATTGCCGCGGGGGTTGTGGTGGGGAGGGTCAGGGTGCTGACGAGCACAGGCCCTGGCTTAGGTGCAAATGACAGACAGGAGAGAGCTCACTCCATCCGGGACACTGCGAGGACTCTGGGAAAGGGGCTGTTCTCCATCCAGGTCTGTTGCGGGGAGGCTCTCCAGCCAGGCAGGGGGTTGGCCCCAGCGGGAGGGCAATGTCTGAGGGAGAGATTTTACTATCTCTGGAGACAAAAGGACTTTTGTGTGTTATGATACCTGGGTGGGGTGGGGTGAGGTGGGGAGAGGGAAATGGTTTCTGGGAATGAGAAAGATTCTACGAAGAAAGGAAGTGGAGTGGGGGTGGGGGAGCAGATGGGGGAAACAAGCAGAAGAAAGAGAGGCCAAGGTGGGGAGACCGAGTGACAGAGAGAGAAGACAGGCCCAGAAAGGGAGTCCCTGGCTGTGGTTTTGACTCAGTCCCCCCAGAGAGGGGTTGAACAGCCTGCAGGGGGTGTCCGAACCTGAGCTGCAACCTGGGTGCTGGCGCAGACAAGCTGCCGGTGCTCAGGAGCTCACACCCCGTGGCTGAGCCTCGGTGTCCCCATCTGTAACAGGGGAGCCTGTTCCCTGTGGTGGCTCCAGCAACCTCAGTGGGAGTGGGGTGTCCACAAGCCAATGTCAATGACTTTTTAAAAGCTTGGACTTGAAATGCGCCCAACTCAGGGAAGGAACCCCAGGTCCTCCAAGGCTCCCAGAAGCTGGTTGTCTGTTACTGGATGAATGGAGGTGGGCTTCAGGCTAAAGATGATTTAATAAATACTTTTCATTGGATGACAAAGCCTTGTAGCTTTGAGACTTAAGAGTACCCAAACTGCGGCTGCCTTTGTTCCTCCCAGGCCTAGCTCTCTGAGAAGTGAGTCTGTTACCGAGGCAGAGATCCACAGAAAAAGGCCCTAGAAAAGAAAGGAGTAACTGAGGAAGGAAGAAAAAGAAGGAGGTTGTATTCTTCTGACAGATGCTGGGCATTTAGGAAATGGAAGCAGGAGGGAAAATTCAGATCGATGGAGTGAGCCCAGTTCCTGTTGTTTAAAAAAAAAGACAATTATTCCCTGGCCAGGTCTTTGGGAAGGGGCCCGGAGGAGGGCAGGCCCAGCTGGTAGCCCACCCGAGCCCAGGGAAAATTCAGAACCGCAGAAGCCTGTTGGATCTGAGCCCAGAGGAGCACATGTTGCTATTGCAGCTACCTTGGTAGCTGAGGGGGCAGGCGGAACATGGCCTCCCCATCTTGTAAGGAGCCTCTCCAATCCAGTTGCCCCTGGAAGAGAAAAGGTCCCAGGGAGGTGGGGTTGGGAGACAGAGGAGAGTTACATGAGCAACGGCACCCAGGTTTCCAAATCTCAGCGCCACCACTGACTAGGCACGTCCCAGCTGCAAACCTCGGTTTCTTCCTCTGTAAAACCAAGAGGCTTCCCTCTCTCCCAGGGACACTGCCGAGATGAAATAATGGAGCCGTGTGTGCGTGCACCTAGCACCATGCCTGGCAAATGACTCCCCAGTAAGTGTTGATTTTCTTATTCCTTCCACCCCTACCTCCCCTATTCCCCACTCAGGCATATCTGAGTTCTGGTCCTGGATTCTGCCACCTGCCAACTGGTGACAGGGTAAACCACCTCATCTCCTGAGCTTTGATTTTATCCTGTGAAAAAATAAAGGAAATGGTGTCCATAAAAATGATGTGAAAACACTTTAACTTTTAATAGTGCTGTGCAAAGAGAGCCGGAATATATGGATGGTGAATGTAATTCAGTCACAGGGGGAAGGGCTTACAAAGCCTTGTCATGGTCACTGCTATTCATTTTTTCCACGACCTGATCCCAAATCCATCCTACCTGCTCCTGAATGAATCCTCTCAACAGGACGTGGCTTTTTTCAGGGAAGGACAGGGAGTTACCGCTTAGTGGTTACAGAGTTTCTCTTTCGGATAATGTAAACGTTTAAGAAATAGGATGATGGTTATACATTGTGAATGTAATTAATGCCACTGAGCTGTACAGTTAAAAATGGTTAAAATACCAAAGTACGTTATATGCATTTTACAACTGTTTTTAAAACATCTACCAAATCTACTATTTTGGTAATCTGCCAAAACCCATTGAATTGTACACTTCCAATAGGTGAGTTGTATGGTATGTGAATTGTATTTCATTAAAGCTATTTAGGAAAAAAAAAAACACCGTCGTCCTATTCTCCTGCTCAAGAACTTTTAGTGGCTCCCCATTGCCTATTCAGGGATTGACAATTTTTAATGTAAAGGGCCAGATAGTAAATATTTTAGGCTTTCAGTCCATATGTCTCTACAGTTTGAAGGCAGCCCTAGATAATATGTAAATGGATGGCATGACTGTGTTTCAATAAAACTTTACTTACAAAAATAAGCAGCAGGCCTATGTATGACCCTGGGCCACATTTGCTGAGCCCTGGCTTGTAGAATCACATCTACATCTACAGCTTTTGGTCAGGTCTCTAGACCAGCTGGCAGGTCCAGATTACATAGCTCACCTCCCCACAACTCTCTTCTCCATTCCAGCCCACAGATGTCTCTTTTTCTCCCTCTTCCTTCCTCAGGGTCTAGTCATTCCTCTGGCTCTTGCTTGTGGCTGCCTAATGATCTTACCACTGGCCTGTAGTAGTTATTTTTGTGAGTCCCAGTGCCTTATTTTCCCACACTTCAAATGAACATTCTCTGTGGGCAGCAATGGAATCTTTTTTCTCCAGCAGTGATTGTTGAATGACTGGAAATAAAGTTAGTCAAAGTGCCTGGAAAAGTTTGCATTTCTGGTTTCATGCAGGACTCATTCATTCATTCAACACTTCCACACACTTCCAGAGCATCTGTTGGGCCTCAGGATTTGTGCCTGATGTTGTGAGTCCTCTGAAGTTTGGGGACAGGGAAAATGAATGGTGGAAACACTTGGGGTGATGGAATCAAAGTCATTCTTTTTTTTGTTTTAATTTAACCACTTGGAAAAAAGTTCTACTGCTTTAAAAAAGCCAAAGGGTTGAAATCACTGTAGTAGAATATAGAAATGAGTCAGTCTATATCCCACCCTCAAGGAGTTTCTAACCTACTTATAATCATGGCCACCACTTATTTAGCATGTACCATGGGCAACTATGACTATGATCCTCTGTGAACCAGATAGCATTAGCCCTATTTCAGAAGAGGAGACTGAGATCCATAGAGATGAAGTGACTTATCTAAAATCCTCAGTGTACATGGGTTAGGGCTGAGAATCAAATCCAGACCTGGTAATAACAATAAGAACAACACATATTCTAAAATTAATATGAGCCCTGGGGTGTACCTGTGTCAGCTCACATAATTCTCTCAACAGTTTATGAGCAGGTATTATTTTCTTCTCATTTTGCAGATGAAAAAAAACAGGCAGGGAGAAGCTCAGTAAAATGTGAACTCTGACAGTCTTTACTCCAGAGCCTAAAAATCTGAATAACTATACTATTAATATTCAATGCCAGAAAAAAATTGATATATCAGCAAGTTGGAATGGTCCCCTAAGCTGTTTGTAACAGAATTTGGTTTGTTGTATTTTTCCCTGTCTGATAAAGCTGGGTTACAATATGGTACTTTGTCATTAGATGTCACCATCTAACAAATAAATAGCTTGAGAATTTGTGTTCAAGATACCAGTGACTTCAAGATTATCAGGATAGTAGAGCTGACAGAAGCCAGGATTTGGAATCAAGGCTTTGTGTTTCAAACAGCTCTGCTACTTACTGGCTTTGTGACTTCTGGTAAATTACTTAACCTCTCTGATCCTCAATTTCTTAATATGTACAAGGGAAAATGTATTCCCAGTATCCCTCCCTTTTCTTGTCTTCTTTCTCTCTTTTGTCTCTTCAATGAGATAATAAGGTGAAAGTATTTTGTAAATGGTCTAGGGCTACATGAGGGTAAAAGATGGTTATCATTTAATTTTGAAATTCTAAATATCATGTCTACTTAGAACCTTGTTTTTGTACTAGAATCTAATGTTCGTAAGTGTGTATACTCTGCATGGATGGGAACAGCCATGCCCCTTGCTCTGCCTTTCCAAGGGACTTGCATATGAAGATCACTTGTGACCTCTGTCCCACCAAGCTGGTTGGAGAATCTGGGAGAAGGAGCCAAGCACGCTCAGGCTACCTTTCCTTTCTTTCCTTTGGGCTCTGCATGCTTGCAGGGAACATGTGCTCATGGTTCTTGGTCGCTCTGTTTCTTGTGATAGGCTTATGGGGCTGGCACTGCACTTGAAGGAAGAGGCCTGTGGTCATCTGGGGTTGCCGGTCAGTGGGTGTGCAAGGCTAATTCAAGAGTGAGGTATTTGCAAGCCCACTTGGCTGGCAGATCTAAACTACATTCTCCACTACTGACTTCATCAGTGAGGCTGCCTATCCACCTGACTTGGTCCTCTATCTGTCTCCCAGTCAATTCGGAAAACTTGGGTAAGGAAAAAGGATTATGAATTGACTCTCAAACTGCCAAATTTTATGGTATTGAGCTTACTTAGAATGGAGGAAGGTCAAGTATCCTGTCTTCCTCTTCTTTGAATTCTGCCCGCTCCACCCCAGGGTCCACCCTTCTGCCCAGAGCACCCTCTGCCTCAGGGCTGCACTTACTTAATGGCATAGTTGCAGACCAGGTATACTGCCTGGTGCCAAGTATCGCCCCAGACGTTGATGCTGCCGCAGGTGTGGATGGCACAGCCCAGCTGACTGGAGGATGCCCACACCATCTGAGGAAGGACAAAGACAAAGGAGCTATAAGAAAGACTCAGTGGGGCCCAGGTTCCCTGGACCTGGGGGCTCCTGGACTAGGTACAAGGTGGGTGCATTAGGGGAGGTCTTCCTGATGGAGGCAGTCTGCCTCGTCCCAAGGTGAGGAGGTTGGAAGCACATTGTACTATAATGTTTCTCAAACTTTGTTTTTTTTTTCTACAACCAACTGTAAGGGATGAATTTTATATTGTTACTCTGTACACAAAACACACATGCACACACAGTTGGAACAAAAGTTTTATGAACCAATATTTAATCTTATCAAAAGTGATATATATGTCAATACTTCCTTTACTGTTTTATTACATTTCTTTCTTTTTTCCCTAGTGACCACTGTTTGAAAATTACTGTTGTATTGGAGGTTAAAAGACAAATTTTAGAGATAAACAGCCTTGGATCAGAATCTCAGTATCACTAGCTGTGTGACTTTGACCAAGTCACTTAACCACTCTGTGCCTCAGTCTCTTCTTTGGTAAAATGGATGTAGTAATATCTCATGGAATGTCAGGAAGGACATTTTATTTAGGCCTCACATTTCCTAGAAGGTTTCAAATTTAGATTTTTGACAGTAAGTCCAAACAAGTCCAACAGAGACTGAGATGGCCAGAAGAAGATATTTGTCATACAGCTAGATGTTCTGTCCCATTTCTTGCAACATTATATTGCATGGCATTTTGATGTATGATAAGTGTTAACATATTCAATATTAGCATTCAAAATATACTACAGTTTTTGGCATTTCTTTTTTTTAAGAAGTGGGAAAATGCTAGAAAATGTTTGGATCTGTTGCATCCGAAATCACTCTTGAGCTGGTCAGTATCTCCAATTCAGGGTCAAGCAATCTGGTCCACCCACCTAAGACACTCAAACAAGATCCAGTTCAGCTCAATTCAATATGTACATAACTTTCCAGGAATATGCTTATTATGCAAAAGGAAGTCCATAGGGGCCTCTCTTCTATTTCTGATTTCTGTTCCACCACCTTCTTTTTCTTCTGAGCTACCGAGATGTGTTCTCCCACCGCCTCTAGTCCTGACCGAGGGGTACCTGGGTATAGTGGGAGCACACAGGGCCGCTGCAGTGCCAGGGGCAGTGCGGGTTACAATCCCTCGAATCTGGAAACAAGTAGTGCCGCTTCTCCTCAGACCAAGACTGCATGAGATCTACCACTGAGCCATACCTGGGAAGGCAGAGAAGATGGAAGGCGCTGGGTGGGAGAATGGCAAAGTCGCTCTGCCACCAATTTCCTGGGTGCCCTTGTTGAATGATTGAATGAAGGAAGGGCAGAAGGCCACTCACCCGCCAGAATGGATGGAGAGGTTCTGGCCCACATATCTCATCAGCTGTGAGGGCCCATGAGCCCAGATGCACTGGGCGGCCCAGGCCTCAGCTGTCCTGGCCAGCCGCTCATCCCAGACCTAGGGACAAAAAGGTCATGACGTTGTCCAGGGAAAATACCCACCATCATCCCAAAAGTATATGGAGGTTCATGTTTACCCAGTGCCATTGCTCCCCTACAAGGTCCACAGCAAGTCCACAAGGAGCAAGACCCACACTGGGTCTCTGGCTCCTCGCCTGATGCCCTTGTGCCCTTGCTGGACTTCAAGCCTGGGGCTCGCTGCTCTGAGTGGGGTCCCAGGCCACCTGTCCAGGTGTTCATGGCAGTCCCCAGAGGTGACCAAGCCCAGGATGACAGGAAGATGACTACATTTTTATTATATTTATTGTGTTTTTCAAATGTGTTTCTTTCACATTAAAAAAAAATGTGGTTCAAATAGGTGTTTTTGAATATAGTGAAAACATGCACAGTTTAATAGGCAAGATGTCCAGAGGAGGAAAGGTAGAAAGTCTCTCATCTCTGTCCTACACTTGTCCCCGAGCCGCCCTGCCCCCTAGAGGCAACAATGACTATGAATTTCCTGTGTCCTCTTCCAGGAATGCTGTTTCTATGCAAGCATGTATATATACAGATACATGGTTATACATATATTATACATGTAAAAAATTACCCTTAAGATAATATTATATATATAATTTTTTTGACAAATGGTATATGCCAGGCATTCTATCAGACACCTAGCTCTTTTTACTTAACAAGTAGGTTATCTTAGTGATTAATCCACACCAGTATACAGAGAATGCCCTCATCTTTCTTAACAGCTTCATAATTTTCTAATGTATGAATGCCCCAAGTTTTATAACTTGAAAAAGCATCACTTAAAAAAAAATACTAGTTCCCTTCCACTCAGGCTTCCTGGGATTCTCTGAGATATTCATTCGTTTTATTTGTTGGTTCAGAAAATATTCAACAGTATTTCTAGGCAGTGAGGATGCACAGTTTAGCAAGGAAATGGGGCATTAAATAATCATCACAATCCTGGTGGGTGTGAGAATGTGAAAGAAGGGACTGGAACTTTCTGGGGGCTGTGGGTCAGTCAGACAGGGCTCCCGGAGCAAGGGGTATTTAGTCAGACACCTGTCTTGTGGGGCAGATGCCAGCTAATGAGGAAGAAATGGTGGTACAAAAGAGAGGTCCAACCATCTCCACAGGGTTGTCAGCCTCATACTCTTTTAGGGAAAGCAGAGGAATGTGTCCTTTTTGCTACAAAGGGGTAAACTGAGGGCAGGGGCATGCTAACATCAAACCCACACTCACTGACCCTCCCCAGGTCCCCTGGTGAGGCATTTAGCTGTGTTCCACAATGCAGGCAATAATGTGTGTCTTGCACACACAACTGGTGCTCGATAAATGTGTCATTGTTTGAAAAAATGGAAGGCCTTCCATGTGTCAGTTGCTGTGTTAATACATGAGTGAGTCAGTCAATGAACAAATAAGTGATTCCCCCACCTCTAGTTGCCTGCTATGCCAGCTCCTGTCCCCACCCCTCCCCAACTCCTTATTACCACCAGACACTGTATTATCCATATATTTGGGGGTTGATGCTTGTTTTCCAACCTCCCCAGTGAACAGGAAGCTCTGTGAAGTAAGAGACCTCGTCCATCCTGTGCTCAGCAGTGTTCACAAGGTTTAGCATGGTGCCTGGCTCCCAGCAGGAGTTAGAACACAAGTGAATGGACACATTGCAAAAGTATAAGAATTCTCAGGCTGTTGACTAGCACATATTTGTCTTGGAGGAGGTGGGCTGGCAATCTTTCCCTGAAGAAATCTGTGGGTGGGTATGAAGCCTATCTCTCCAGGCTGGTTTGGGACAATGGTCCTGAGGGAGTGGCTGTGATAAAGAAGAAGTCTGGCTTCTGGGGGGCTGGGGTGAGAGCCTCGGCTCTGCCTCTTTGAGGGTAGGCATCCAGCCTCCTCCACCCATCAGCGGCTGGTTTTCCTCAGCCTGAGACCCCCCAGGTACCAGTCCCCACTGCTCCAAACTCCACCTCCACAGGCTGGAGGAGGGAGGTCTGGGTGTGTCCATCAAACCCCTGGGACAAAGAGACAATACCCTGGAAAGCTCTAGCCACCCACCCCCTGCAGGTCCCCAGTGGGGAGCCAAAATTCGTGGGCAGGGTATTGTGTCAGTTAAGAAGACAACCTTCAGCAGCAGACAGACCTGAGGTTGGAATCCCAACTGGATGATCCTTGGCAAATTAATTTCTGCATCTCAGCTTCTTTTATTTGGAAGATAGAGATGATAATTCCCACCTTGAAGGAGGAGGAGTACCCTCAAGGTAATGTATAATGCCTAGTGCACAGTGGATGCTCTGTAAATAACAGTCCTCTGCCCCTCCCTCCCAGGAGGACCTGTGCAACCACCTTCGTTTTCTTATCTGTAAAATGGGCAGAATTCCTGCCCTTTCCACAGAGCCCAGATTACCCAAATACTGACTAGTGGGGCCAGATTGGCGAATGGTCCAGCCCTTCCAAGACTCAACTGAGTCAACTGGCTTTTGCTAGGAGGGACACTGGGGACAGCATGGGGCTCACCATATATTCCATGTTGGCGGCAGGTGGGTGTACACTGGCCTGGATGTGGTTGTGATAATCCAATAAGGCATTCATGTCCTGAGCAGAGATGTGGCGCATCTGCCGGTACCGGGGCACCCCCAGAGCACTCAGAGGCTGCTCAGCTGTGCCCTGTGTCTGGGCCAGTGCGAGGGTGACATTTGCCATCAAGGCGTTCACTGTCTGGCCTGCCCAGAAGAGCAGGCCTGCCAGGCCCACCGTGCCTGGCAGCAGGGGCATAGCTCCCTGGGGGGGTCAAGCATCTGCTTCGTGCAGTCAGAGCCAGCTGCCTGGATGGGGGGAGCATGAGGGTATTAAACCATGAGTATTCTCTGGCATTGCTACGGCAGAGGATGCTACCCCTCAGAACTTGGCAAAGACCCCCTGACTCTGCTCTGGTCCAGGTGCCCAAATACCCTGTCCTTCCCACCCTTGTGGACTGAGTAGGACTGAGTGGATTGGGCAATGGAAAGAAATGTCCAGACAGCAGCTAAGCCGGACCAGGCCCAGGGGTGGCATGGTGCTACCACGTCAATGGTTCTACCAGGAGCCAGGGCCCCAACCCCCCAGCCCAGGAGACAGACACCAGTCTGCTCCAGCCTGGACCCCCGCTTCAGCAATCCTGCTCCAAGTGAGACCCTCCCTTTGAGGGGCAGGGCCAAACTTCCCCAAGGCAGAGTGCAGGGTCCTCTCAGCCCTGAGTTGCTGCAGTTTTGAGGTTGAGAGCAAGACACAGAAAATAACCAGAGAGACAGAGAGAAAGAAAAACAAGAAACAGAGAAAAAGAAAATGAGAGATTAAAAAGGTGACTGTGGAGAAAAGAGATCAGAAGAAAAAAAATGAAACAAACAGAAAGGCAGAAAGAAACAAGAGAGAATGAGAGATGATAAGGGAAAACAGAAAGAACAGGGGAGAGAAATAGAGGTAGAAAGACAAAGGGAAAAAGAACAGAGAGGATGGAGAGAGAAATAGATAAAGCGAACAGAGCCAGGGAGCCGCGTGGAGACCAGGCAACCGGCTCCCCAGGGGCTCATACCCACAGTGGGCAGCCCAGGCTGGTGGCAGAAGGCGGGAGGAGGCAGGGGGTCTGCAGACACCCTGGCCCTCCTGGCAGTGCAGCGACTTTAACAGTCCCCTGGGAGCTGATGGCCTCTGACGTCTGTGGCCCCACAGCCCCCTCCCCTTCCAGCCTGGCCAGACTTGGACCAGAAGCTCCGCCTGCCCGTCTGTGGGCTTTGCTCTCCCTCCCTCTCACGCCTCTGCAGTTCCTGCCACCACCTGGGGTGTGCAGGGCTGGGGCTCAGATGCTGGTCAGGGTAGGGATGCAGCAGAGACCTCCAGATCCCAGGAGGAAATACTGCCCCCCACCTCCGGAGTCCGCAGATGCAGTGGCTTCTCTCTGCCTGCCAGACCCCAACATAAAGACCACCTTGCATCCACAAAGTATTTTCCGATTGTTTTCCCTACAAAAGCCTCAGCCTCTGAGTAGGCAGTTAATATGGCCCCATTTAATGAGCACCAGGCGAATGTTTTACACACACAAGGTCAGCCGACATTAAGAAGCAGGCACTACAGCTCCCATTTCCCAGATGAAGAAAAAGCCACAGAGGTGAAAGAACAAGGCCACCGTCAAGCCAGCCTGACGCTCTAGAGCCAGGATTCAAATCCAAGTCTGACTCCAGGGCCTGTTAGTATATAAAAGATACCATTTTTGTAACCAAACCAATATAGACACACAAGGAAAAAAACTAGGAGGATATTCACTCAGATGCCACTCAAACACAGCACCACAGAGCCTATTTAACTAAGCCCTTGCACCTGGGTTCAAATCCCCCCTATCACTCACTAAATTGGTGTCCTTAGGCAAATTATTCAGTCATTCTGTGACTCATCTGTCAAATGGGGTACCTACCTTACAGCACTTTTGCAAGAATTAGATGAGTGAACATTTGTGGAGCACTTTAGAATTGTGCCTGGCACACACTGTGTGCTCTGTAAGTAGGTGTGTGTGTGTATACTCGCATGAGTATGTATATACTTGTATGTGTGTGTAAGCTTATGACAGTTCATGTGCCATGTATATACGTGTATAGATACATGCATGAGCATGCAGAAGTCTATCCCTGTGTGTGTGTGTGTGTGTGTGTGTGTGTGTGTGTGTGTGTGTGTGTGTGATCTAAACCTTTTTTGGTCTCTTGAGTTGCTGTATTTCTGGATTAAGAAAGAGTTTAATTTTATCCTCTGACTTGTATTCCCCACAAACAACAAGCAATACTTTTGTAGATTTACAAGAAAGCTGTTATATAAAAAAACCAAAGTCGAAGCATTTGTAAACCTTCAGCCTCCTCTTTCAGGGACCTCTGAGAATCCCACCTGCAGAACCCAGTCTCATGGGGCCAGGCTGAGCCAGGTGGTGATGCAGGGCTGGGGCCTGGACTGGGCTGCCCAAGTGGGGTCCTTCCCAGACACAGGGAATTCCCGCCATAGGCAACCGCCCAGCCTCAGCCTCCATGGCCCAGACAGTGCCAGCTGCCAACGCACACACCTTCCTGCTGGAGTGGCCGCCCCTAGCGCAGGCACTGACTGCTGGACACTCGGGAAGGTGGGGCAGGCACAGGCAGTGATGGGTGGGGGCTGCCAACCCTCACCTCTATGAGGCTTTCCTACCACACCAGAAGGACAAGAGAGACTGGCTCCACTCCTGGCCCATCTCTGCCTCCAGCATGCTGGGTGTCCTAGGGCAAGTCTCTATCCTTCTATACTTCTCTGGGTGTCAGACACCCCACCAGAGAGACTGGACTAAGGGCTCTTCTGCAAGGTGGGATCCACAGCACTCCAGAGGGAGCTCTGCAGCCCCAGGAGGCAGACACAAACAGCCTTGGCACTTTCGAACCCAGGAGTGTCAACAGTTAACTCCACTCTCTCAGAATGCTTAACCAGAACTTCTGGTATGTAACCAGCACTTGCCTTGGTTTGGAGCTTCACGTCATGGCTCACTTGGTCCTCATGGTCCCACTGTACAGATGGGTATACTTTGAGGAAGTAACCCCACCCAAGAGCCTCAGTGACTTGTCCTAGGCCCTGGAGCTTCTTTGTGTGGTGACTGGGGTCTGGCAGTGAACATCCTTGCACATTTACAGAATGCACATGCATCCGCTGTGCACATGCCTTGCACACTTACATGCACACATACAAGAAAATGCTCCTCCCACAAATCACAGACACAGCTCGCCCAGCCCCTCAGATCCTTTCTACCATACACCCTCCAGTGCCCTTCCATAAAGATACAGAAGCCCACCCTTTACACATTTAATCACATTAGCACACGGAGGCTATAAGTATTTGCTCCTAGCTCAGTGCCTGGCGCAGTTTTAAGCACTTCACCTGAATGAGCTCATTCAATCTTCAGAACAGCCCTATCAGGCAGGTGCTGTTATTATCGTGTCCATTTTTACACACATGAGGAAACTGAGGTACAAAGAAGTGAGTCGTTTGCCTGGGGTCATACATCAGAGGGTGGGGATGGGCCTCCAGGCAGGCTGCCCAGACACACATCGAGGCAGGTACGGCCCTGCGGTCCAGCCACACGAAACCATACAAAACTGCCATCTCCTGTCCCACACATCCACATACCTAAAGGAAGCCAGAGGGTGGCAAACACGGCGACACCTGTGGCCACTCCACCAGGTGGGACCTTCTCTGCTATCCTCGCTGACTATGCCTGTTCCCAGGTTCACGTCGACAGGTTGCTGTGGATACAGATGTCAGGGGTCGGGGCAGGAAATAATGAGGGAGAGCCCAGGTTAGTGTTCTGGGCTGCCATCTCCCTTGAGGGCAAGAACGCTTTCTGACCCCTGGATTCATCACACCGGGTCCAGCTGTTGCTTCATCCTCGGCCCTACTGGAGTTCTCTCTGGGGTTGAATGAGCCAAGGGGAACTGTTCTAGAGGGGGGTAGTATTTGATGCAGTATAGCTCAGCGGCTAACAGTGCAGTCTCTGGAACCAGACTGCCTAGGTTCATGGCTTACTGTGCAGCCGTGCGTAAGTTACTTAACCTGTCTGTGCCCCCAGTTTCCTCATCTGTAAAATGGGGCTGCCTCGTGGCATTGCTTTGAGGGTTAAGTGAGTTAGTACATCTTATGACACTTAACACAATGCCTGACACAGAGTAAGCAGTCAATAAATGTCAGCTATGGAATTAATAATAGCAGTCAACTTTTACTTAGTACACGCTAAGTGCCACTAAATGCTGTAGGGGTATGATCTCATTTAAGCCCCGCTCCAGTTTCATGGGTTAGGTACCAGGATCTTCCTGCTACAGACAAGGAAGTGGAAGCTCAAAGAGGTTAAGTACACTGCCCAAGTCACACAGCTAGTCCCCAGGGCGGATTGGGTTCCAGTGCCAGATCACTCTGATTCATGCTCCACTACTTTTTCGCTCTGTTAAGTTGCTTTTAAGAAGAGACTGAGGGGCAGAAGCTTAGTGCTTGAGAAAGCTAGGCAGCCCTTAGAGATCTTTTAGGTCACCCCTTCATTTGTCAGTTGAGGAAAAAGATTCAGAGAGGTTAAGTGACTTGTCCAAGATCACAGAGGAACGGGCAGACTCAGGACTGCAACTCAGATCTTAGTTACTCCAAATCCAAGCTGGGGAAGGAGGGAACACATGTGGAAAATAACAGCCATGATCCAGACTCCAAGACTCCTCAGGCCAAATGCCCCAGGCTCTTCCAGAAGATAAATGTAAGAAAACGAGAGGGATGGAGGAGGAATTTGCAGATACTTAAAAGATGCACATTTTTAAAATATGGACAAGACTATAAACTATTATTATTGAGGGATGCGCACATGGGCAATAAAACTATAAAGAAACACAACAAATAAAAAAGGCTATGATTGGGGTGGGATGTTTGAGGGGCTTCTAGTTCTTGATCTCACTGGTGTTACAAGTGGTTCACCTCATTGGGCTCCACATTTATGTCACTTTCTGTAATTGGGTTTTATTTTATAATAAAAAGGGCTTTAAAAATCACAGTAATAATTTATAAAATGACATTTTACATCTGTACTGCCTTAACCATGCATGAGGATTTTGCTCTTCTTTTAACAGATGGGGATGAGAAGTTCAAAGCGGGAGGCAACTTGCCCGCAGTCACACAGCAAATAAGTCTGGGAGCCAGGACTCGACCGCTGTGGCTTGGTGTGTCTAGCACAGGGGTGGTTGGGGACTGTGGTAGTTCTT